GAGGCAAGGAGCGGGGCACGGCTGCAGCCGGCTCCCCTCACGCTTCCCCGGCACTTCCCAGCGCCGCATTCCCGAGCTCTCCCCACAGCGAGCTGCGTGAGGGCTGCGGCTGCCGCCGCCCGCCCCGGCCCCTCACGCCGCGGGCTCGCCCCGCTCCAGCCCCTCACGCCGTGCCGGGGCAGCACCCCTCGCTTGGGCACGGCCCCACACGCCGTGCCGGGGCAGCACCCCTCACCTGGGCACGGTCCCGGCGTGAGGGGCAGCCCGGCGATGCCCGGAGCGGGACTGGCGTTCCCCCGTGCCCGGCAGCCGGGCACGGCTTCGCCCCGCTGCCCCTCACTCGCCTGTGGGGAAGCCGCCAAAATGGCGGGGGGCGGAGGCGGACCCCCGCCCGCGCCGGCAGCGCGATCAGGGAGGCAAGGGAGGCAGAGCCGTCCCGTATCCCAGGGGAAAAGGCGACCTGGAGCAGGTTTTCTCCTCAGGGATCCCCCCCCAACCCGCGGGACGGGGACGCGCCCGGCGCGGCGACTCACCTGAGGCGGCATCGGCCAGCGCGGCGCGGAGCAGCAGCAGCAGCAGCACGGCGGCCCCGGCGGTGCTCATGGCCCCTGGCGGCGAGCAGCGAGCGGCGAGTGCCCGCCGGGCCCGCGGCAGGTGCCGGGGCAGCGCCTCGGCCCCCGCCCCGCCGCCAAACTTGGCCCGCAGACAAAGGGGCAGCTCCGCGCCGCAGCCCGCCCGCCCCCCGCCCCGCCCCGGGCAGCGCTGCGCCCTCCTTCCTCCCGGCACCCGAGCCTCTCCTCCTCCTCCTCCCTCTCCTGTTCCCCTTGCGCCCGGGCGGGCAGAGGATTGTGGTTTCTCCTCCCCTGGGGATGGAGCAGCCCCCGGTAATCCCGCAGCCGTGCGGGGATTAGGGAAAGCAAACGTGTTTGTGTTGGATGTGACCCCACTGATTTGATCCATGCCGGTGGCTGGAAGGGAGAGGTCACCCTCTCGCCGGGGTTGGAAGCCTCTGATTTGTTGTGTTTTGGGTGTCGGGTTGTAGGATTGTGACAGCAAGTATCAAAGCCTGGTCTATTTCCATGTCCATTTCTTCGTGGCACGGCTGCTGCTTTGCTCTTTCTTCCTAGAGCAAATCCAAGTAAGAGTTAAAGACGAGATCTCAAGCACTCAAACTAAAAGAAAAACCCATCAGAAACTCAAGTTCAACTGCTGCCCTTACAGTGTTTTCTTGCTTTAAGCACTTCCACACACACACACAGTACTAAGTCCATTCAAGAAAAGCTTCCCGTGTCACCACTCCAGCACTGCACACTCAACACATCTCGGAGCCAACGTTTCCAAATGAAAGTTTGGCTCCTGAAAGTCACAGGATAAAGAAAAACAGCCCAAATTTGAAGTTACAGCCATTCCCAGCCCCAAATTAAAACGAACTCGGAAAGGGAGTTTATTTTTACTAGCCTGTGAATGAAATGGGGTTTTTTTTTTCCTACCAATTTCAGCGTTCCTGCTTCATAGCAGCATCCCAGTTCCCACACAGCAGTGGCTTGCACAGGGGCTGGGCTGCTGCTGCTGCCTTCATCTCCTGCTTGCCTGATTAAATGCAACGATGGCAGCTCAATTTGATAACAATTCCCCGTGGTAACTCCATCTGCTCAGCTTTGATTCACTTCCTCATGAACACTACCATGTTCAACTCCCAGTTGGAGGTCAGATTTTCTGGTTTGTTTTTTTTTTTTTCCCCTCCCCAGGACTGTGTGCCTTTAATCATTGTGCTGGAATTCCCACAGCAAAAAAAAACCACACAAGCCCCAGGTCCCTTCTAATTCCTCAGGTGAAACTCTGGACAACGTCACCAAACTCAAAGGAACACCAGCAAGAAAGAACAGGTGAAAATAATTAAAGCCAAGCACATAGAGGGGTCAGTAACTTGATATAAATGTGTCAATTCCATCTTTTAACCATTTGTGTTGTCCTGCTGCTGTTCTTTAGGCTTTGAAAACTTGTTTCCCTAGTTCATCTACAGCCTCCTCCTCCCCATTTCTCCTGCCTTCCTTCCTGCTCTTCTCACAACACTGCTCCCAAGACCCTGTTAAAAGTCAGAACTCCAGACCCATAACTTAGATAATTTTTCAGATTTTCCCTCTAGCAAATACTCATTGCCAGCATTTCTCAAGTTTTGCACTCGGTGCAAAAAGCTTGAAATTTTCAGGAATTCCAAGTTTGGTAAAGTTTTGTCCCTCGCATCCTGTTTAACCCAAAAGCAGCATTTCTGTTCTGAGTCTGCTTACAGATGAGCAGCAAATAAAATTATAAAACAAGCTTCAGACTCTCTCAGGAGAAATATGAGATAGTTCACAGGCTGAAAGCTCGAAGGGCACAACTTGCAAAGCACTGATGCAGCTGTCAGCTGCTGCCACAGATCTTGGAAATAATGGCACAAAAAAGTCACTGGGGCTGTAGAAATAAACCACTTTTAGCCTCCTTTTTTTTAATCAAACCTCTAGGTAGAGGTCAGTTTTCTGCAAGTTGGTGTGAAAGAGCCATTCCTCCACTTGGCAAATCCCTGGCTGAAAGGAATGGAGCCAGACATGCCTTGTGTTCCTGGAAAGATGGGCATGTGCTGGCTCAGCCTTGCACAGAGCAGCTGGAGAAACATGGCTCTGAGAAGGATCCATCTCTGGCAAGTGAAGGAGTTCTCATCTGCATTCCCCACTTCCAGAACACCTGACAGTTATTTTTCCAGCTTTTAACTGGGTTTTTTCACAATGTTTTTAATAAGCCTTTTTAAAATCCATGAGAATAGTCCACAAAAACGACGTGGCATTGTCACCACGTGTGACCTCAACCCAGCATCTCCCAGTACCTGGCAGTTTGGGAAGACTGGCATTTTCCTCTTGTTTTCCAAGCAGTCCTGCAGGGGACACACTGACACTTCTCCCTTCGTATCCTGGTGGGATGAAGCCTCTAGACACCTGCAAGCTGAGGCACTGACAGAAATAACTGCTTGGGGAAGAATTATGTTTATCCCTAACAGTGTTTTTAGTCGGCCTCTAAAGCTTTTTTCCCCCCTCTCTGTCCTATTTCAGTCAATCCAAGTTTTCCCACATGGACAGATCTTTGGCTACAGCATTAGCCTCTCCCACAGTCTGCCAGGACCAATGGCATTGCAGAACATGGCTAGTAAAATCATATTTAATCACTCAGAACACCCATCACAGCACTAAAAACCTGTCACCCCTGGTGGCAGCTGCCACATGCCTGCCCTGCTCCTCCAGCTGTGGCAGAACTCCCAGCACAAACCCCGTGAACTCAGCTTGACCCACGGAAATTCCAGCTTTTTTTGGAGTGCCACGAATTCCCCCACAAGCCCAGGTTGAGGCTGAGGGTCAGCCCAAACCCTGCAGCCCCCACAGCTGCACACAGGCTGCCAGCACAACTTCTCCCTTCTTTGGGCAAATGTTTCCGCGTGTTTCACGAAGCCTGAGAGCCTGACTGCCAGCTTAGCTAAACCAACAGCAGGTCCAGATAAAACAAAGCTAAAAGCCATCATCCATCATCTGCAGGGCTGGAGGTGCTGCAGCACTGCCTCTCTCCATCCCACAGTGGCTTCCAGAAGCCAGCAGCTCAGTGGGACAATTAAAGGGATTTCTAAGGCCCAAGAACCACAAGTCCCGCTCTGCATGTTTGAGGACTGAGCTCATTAAAGAGTGATCATCTCATGTTGTCTTTCTCCTTTCCATCTCTCTCCCCACCTCGTGTCAATCCAGCATTCCAGGATAAAAAGAAGTCCCAAGGCACTCAACAGCTTGTTCAGCATGGCACAGCCCAGGGGCAATATTCCTTCAGCCATCAGTAACACCAGTTCAGAACTGCACCTGAAAACTTGCTGAGCCCATCCGCTGCTTCTCTTGCCCACCTGACCTCCAGAGGCCCAGATTCCCTGTGTCCCCACAGTTCTGGGATTTTCCAAGTGCAGATTCCTGCAGGAACATTTATTATTCTGTGCTTTTATTCTCTGAGAGCACACTCAGCAGTCTGAGAGCTTCTGATTTAAGCTCACCTGTGCATTTATGCTTAAGCATCACTTTTTCTTTTTAAAATCCACCCATCAAAGAGGGCAGGCCTATCTTTTCCCAAAATGGACAGTGAAGTCTTGGAAACAAGCCAAGAGAACAGGGAAAAGACACAGAAATCTGTGGAGAGAACATCACAGCCTTGGGTTTTCCACACCAACAGGTCACTCATATTCAGATTGCTCCTTTTGGGCCACAAACAACACACACAACCACTGGAATGCCTCATAATACCCCTTACATGTGTAATTCCTTAGAAATAAAGATATTCCAGTGCACTGGCATTGCTTTTCCCACTGACAACATGCAAAGTCCATTAAGTCAGTGTGAAACCTTCCTATACACACCTTAAAGGGTTTTTTTGGATCAAACTCTGAGCAAAGAACCCCAAACAACCAAAATAATCAGCGTGGCCTGACAGGAATTGGTCACCCTGACTGACAGCAACCAAATGCTTCTGATGGGAACTAAAATAATTTCCATGCAGACAGATCCCAGTAACTCCTGGAAAAAGGAGGCCCACCTCCAATAATAGGAATGATTTAAACCTTGCCAGATTTGGACCAGCTCATCCTTGTTGTAAACAGCCAGTCCTTTCTTGGACCTTCTTACATTTCGGGGTGCAGCTTTACAAACACGTGTTCAGCAACAGAGCCCCCCCAAAAATACCACTCCAGGAGGAATTCCTACACGGGCGGGAAGGGCGGGAGCGCCATCTCCTGGAAGGAAAGCGGAAAACACCGGGAAAGAGCCGGCTCTGCAGCTGGCGTTCCAAAAAACCAGGCGAGGAAAACACACCGGAGCAAGCCGCACGCTCGCCGCCCCCCCCAAAAAACACATCCCGTTCTTCCTTAGGGAAAAACATCTGCTCGGTTCTGACAACAGGCTCCTGCTCGTGACAACGTCACACCCAATTCAGACACGAAATCCACGAGTTCCATTTATTTTTTGTTCTCACAGAGCACGATTTGAGTGAGACCGTTTGCCTCCCCAGCTCCAGCGCCAGGTCCACGAGGAAAACACATCAGGTACCAAGGGATTCCTGGACAGGTTTTTGCTGGTCCTCATCAGCTGCATTTTCTTCCTCTTTTTCTTCTGCTTTCTCCACCTGAGGCAGGATTCCATCGAGGTTCAGCAGCAAGCCTTCACTGGTGGAGGATCTGATCACCAACCTCTGCACAATGGGATCTAGGGAGACAAAGGGCAGCACCAAACTGGTCACTCCACCCCTTCCCAGCTCTCCAGGCTGACTGCTCCCAGGAAATTTTGCCACCAAGCCAGTAAAAGAAGACCACAAGAATCAGGCTTGACACTCCAAATAAAATTTTAAAAAAGCTGCTCAGAGCAGAAAAGCTAATCCTCAGTAAACTGGGCTGATGTACATTGATTTAAATTAATTTAAAAAATCAGCCCTTTCTGCATTTACTTTATATTTAAAGTCAGGCAACCCCTTGTAGTTTTTATTTGGGCTTCTCAAGGCATGTGCACTTGGCTTTTCATGGTCTGGTCTCTGCAGCTACTGTGAGCTGACCACTGGGAGAGGGACAAGACCATTCTTCAGGCAGACATTAAGCAAGTACCAACACCAAAAAATGGGACTGTAGCTTACACAAAGCTCCTTCCCTAAAATTATTTCATAAACCACCATCTCCTCTCCAGCTATGCAGGTGCCCTCTGCTTAAAGTTGACTTCACTATTCCTTTTGCTAAGGAATATAAGGAAAGAAAGAACCAGCTTTTCCCTTGGAGGGGCAGGAATTTTAAGAGATATTTGGAGAGCAGCAAGGTAACTGCATGACAACCCAGTAAAGAACACCCATCTCCCAGCTTGGGTTTGCTGCAGCCTGAACAAACCTTACCAAAATTGGAGGGCTTGAAGGTGCAGATGTCGTGGATGATTGCTCTCAGGTTGGCAATGATGTGCTCAGTGGGCATATCCAGCTGCAAAGGGACAGTGCCAAGTTAGTCATGGTTATTTTATTTTATATTTTATGGTTATTTTACAGTCATGGTGAGGCCTGGAGCTGGTGTTTGTGTTTATCCTGCGTTTGGATAGGTTTCCTTTGTCTGTGTTCCCTGGGAAGGAGTGACAAATCCCATTAACAGCCTTATCCAAAAGCTGATTTGCTCACTCTTCTCCCTGCTTCCACTCAGGACATGAAATTCCCAGGGCTCTGTAACAACCTGCAGCCTCCAGGGCTGAAAACTCTTAAAAAACCAACCAAAACCTCATTAAAATTAAGGAGCTGGGGAAAGAAGCCTCGAGCAGCAGCTGTCAAAGGCCACAAAATGCATCAACACCCAGAACTGAGGGCATTAGGAGTGGAACAGAATGAAATCAATCAAAAGAACCAACTCATCAGCTCCATGATGAGGACAGGTAATGCTCAGACAAAACAGTTTTCATATTCAAAGGAAGATGCCAGCTTCCAAACCTTCCTTCCAAGCTTCCCACAGTAAATCCTTGTGGATGCACACCTATTTGTCTCCAACACTGCCAGGCAAAGCTTCAGGCATTTCCTACCTTTCCCTGCCTGTGCCACCCTCAGTTAGAGGAACACCAAACATCAGGCAGGATTACAAAGACACAAACCAGAAGGAAAACAAAAAACAAAAAAATCCCAGAGCTTAGGGCCCTCGAAATGAGTAAATAAGCCAAAATTAATGTTGCATTTCAGGTAACACAAACAGTTCTTGCTTCCTGCTCCAGTCCAGAACTACAGTTAGCAAAATTAGAAGTCTTTAATTATTTGGTTAAAGCAAAGACTTTTTGATTCTCCTGTGAATATTGACTTACAAACCTATACTTTATTCATTTACCAAAAATAAAACCAACAAAAAACAAAACAACCAAAAACCCCAAGAAGTTTAAAACCAGCTGATGATGCCACACGACAGGATTCTATCTTCTTCACAGATTAGTTGAAAAAAAAGGTCAAAAACTTGGAGAAACAGATTGAAAAGATGTTTTTTTCCCCCCTCTTGGAATACCACAGTTCTGCTCAGGGCAGAAAATGCAAGAGCTCTGCCCACACTTACTCTGGCTATTCTTGTCTTGATGACACTCTCGTCCTGCACCGAGTACTCGTGACATTCTCTGAAGAACTGCACCATCCTGGCAATGTCACTGCCCAGGGAATCTGTTCAAAAAACAAACAAAAGAAGTGGTCTGAGCAACGCTAATTAGCACAGAGGGGTGTGGCACCAGCAAAGAGATAATCCAATCTGTTAATTAAGGCAAACACCACGCCAAAACGAAGTTTCAGAGACAGGACAATGGTGTGCTAAGCGAGATCACAGAAACAGTCTCTCTGTTCCCTCCTTGCCCACCCAAAAATGGGCAAATTTATCTGGGTTCTTACCCCAGATTTGCCTGTGGCAGGAAAAAATGGATCCCTGAAGCTCCCTTGAGCTGAGACAAGCCACAGCCTAACACTCAAAGTAACCACACAGCCTGAAAAAAAAACCATCCCAGGGCTCCACCTCCCTCAGGAACTGGTAACACTCGTAACCAAGAACTGCTCCTTACTTCTCTTGGTGCTGGGGTACTTCTTTTTCAGTTTGTTCCTCAGGGGGATGAGCTTGGGGATGATGGCAGGGACAGCCACGTAGAAATCAGCCTGGATTTCATCCTCCAGGATCTGCAACAAGCACAGTTCCACTGACTGCACTGAAGCTGATGGATGAAAAGGTCCAAAAGCACAGAAATCCATCCCTCACTCTGCCTGCTGCCTCCCAGCTAGAGCTCAGTGCAGGCTTCTTCCCCTCCCCAGGCCCCAGTCCTGCTGAAACTGGGATTTTTATGCAATTCTTTAAGAAAAAAGAATTCTGGCTCAACCACCTCTGGGAACATCAAAACTCCAGGAAAATTAAGGAATTCAGCTTCACCCTCCTCTGTGAGCACCAAAACCCCATGAAAATTAAGGAATTCTGGCTCACCCATTTCTGGGAACACCTAAACCCCAGGAAAATTAAGGAATTCTGGCTCACCCATTTCTGGGAACACCTAAACCCCAGGAAAATTAAGGAATTCTGGCTCACCCATTTCTGGGAACACCTAAACCCCAGGAAAATTAAGGAATTCTGGCTCACCCATTTCTGGGAACACCTAAACCCCAGGAAAATTAAGGAATTCTGGCTCACCCATTTCTGGGAACACCTAAACCCCAGGAAAATTAAGGAATTCTGGCTCACCCACCTCTGTGAGCAACAAAACTCCAGGAAAATGAAGGAATTCTGGCTCACCCACTTCTGTGAGCAACAAAATTCCATAAAAATAAAGGAATTCAGCTTCACCCACCTCTGTGAGCAACAAAACCCCATGAAAATTAAGGAATTCTGGCTCACCCACCTCTGTGAGCAACAAAACTCCATGAAAATTAAGGAATTCTGGCTCAACCACCTCTGTGAGCAACAAAACTCAATGAAAATGAAGGAATTCTGGCTCAACCACTTCTGGGAACACCAAAACCCCAGGAAAATGAAGGAATTCTGGCTCACCCACCTCTGTGAACACCAAAACCTTGTTCACCTCGTCCGTAAAGCGATGGGGAAGAGAGACACCGCTGGAAAAAGGATCCACTTTTTTCTGGCAAGTTCAAAAAAAAAATAAAATTAAAGCAAACAAAAGGAAATTAAGACTCGAGGGTAAACTACAGCATCACAGGCAGCTGGTGCCCTCAAAATGACAGGCAGAAAACACAAAGGAGGCACGGGACTGCCCTCAGTGCAAACAGACCCAAAGCCTCCAGGGGTGCCACCCCACCTTCTTCTGCAGAGCCATGTCCAGGAACACGTTGATGTAGACAAACTGCTTGGGGTGGGTGAAGTCCAGCTCCTGGAACCTCTTGAGCATGGCCACGGCCTGCTCCAGCCCGTAGGAGGGTCTCTTGTAGAGCCAAGTCAGGTACACGTCGTCCACGGGCTTGCTCATCAGCGGCCGCCTCCGAGGGAGGGGCTTCTCCCTGGCCGGCTCCTTCCCCTTCTCCTGCCTGCTCCTCTTGGCGTCTTTTTGGGCAGCTCTGAGAGCAAAAATAAACCCCCCAGGCACGTTGTGAGCTCAGCAGTTATCTTATCTTCACGGCAGTCTTATTTCATAAAGCAAGGTTTCCTCCTCCCTCTCCCGTGGCATTTTGCAATCAGTTGATTTTCCTATTTTCATTTTGCTATTTTCAGAGGGTCTCCAGGCGAGGAGAAGAATATTAAAATAATAATTGGACACTCCACCTCTCTGTAAAGAGCCTGCAGCACTTGAGCACACTTCATTCTCCTGTAGATTTTTGCTCCTCCCAGCCACGCTCTGTTACTACAGACATGGCAAATTAAACAACGAAAAGCCAATTAAAGGACGGGAAGGGTTTGAAACCGACCCCAGGAGCTCACCAGCTTTCACGCTGACATGTAACCCTGCTACACCCCGCAAAAGCACAGCCCAAAACCACAGCGCCACGCTTTCCCCGTGCCATCAGCACGGAAAACACTCCCTGCGAGTGCAGCCTGTCCTCCGGCAGCCCGTGAGGCTCAGCCGGCTGTCGAACCCGCACTGCGGACACCAAACCCCCCTCCAGCACCTCGCGGGACGCCGGACCCGCACTCACTTGGCTGCTGCCGCCGCGTAGGGCCGGGTTGTGGCGGGGCTCGGCACGGCGGGGACGGCGAGGCGCTGCTCCAGCCCGGCGAGGGCCCAGCCGCACCGCGGGGCCAGCGCTGCGGGGCGACAGCAAACACCGCCTCAGACAAGCCCCCCGACCCGGACAGGCCCCCGCGTCCCCCCTCCAGCCCTCAGGGCCGCGGGGACAGCGCCCGTGACTCCCTCACCGCGGCCCCCTCACCTCGCCACAGGCAGCGGGAGCTGGGCGCCGCCATCTTGCCGAGCCGCCCTGGTGCGCCGCCGCAACCCTTCCCCGCGGAACTCGCTCCCCGAGAAGAAACGTTCCGGCAGGCCCAGCGCTTTAGCGGCGCGCCACCTACCGCCGTCCCCCCAAGCCGCCTTGCCCCGGCCTGGCGTTCCGCGGGTGCGCGGGTTCCGGCGCCTGCCCGCTGCCCCGGGGGAGGTGACCCATTGCCCGCGGCTGGTGAAAAGCCTCCAGCTCGCTTCTTCAGCGGCCTGAGAGGGGCCTTAGGGCGAAGCCGCGGTTGTTTCGTGGTGCTGCAGGCCGAACTGGTCCCCCTTCCCCGAACCAAGATGGCGGCGGCTGCTGAGGGCAGCCAGGGCCGCGGCCCTCAGCCATGGAGGCGTTTACACCCGCTCAGCCCCGGCTCTGTGTGGGAGAACATCGCCTGTCTGTGGCTCAGCAGTGCCTGCTGCAAGCCACGTGTAATTCCAAAGAGAGATTTTTCCGGCTGCCATCTCACCTCTATTCCCTTGCGGATTGGGTGGGAAAAGAGACGCCTTAATTCACCGTCCTGGAGCAGCATCCGCTTACAAAGACTTTGTTCAGATCCACACCACAAACTGCAATGCTTAAATGGGGATTTTATTCCACACCGGTGTGCTCTTGACTAAAAACACTGCAACCCCGTAGTCTCCCCCAATCAACGCGTGTCCAAGCGTTTTTAAATCAGGGCTACGCGGCGACTGAAAACTCCCCAATGGATCCGCGCGCAAGGATTTTTTAAACCAGGCACGGTGCAAAACAAACCGCAACAAAACCGTGCTCATCCCATCTAACTCCCGGCTCAGTGTCCTGGGAAAGGATGGACACGGTGATGTGAGGAAAATGAACCCTCCTCGGCTAAAACGCCTCAGCTGAGGGGTGGCAGCCATTTGTTCAAAGCTCCAGGGGGGAGATGTAAATATTTTGGACGGGCACTTGGCATTGCAGAGGTGTGAGAGGAGACTGTTCAATGCGCGCCTGCGGCAGGTAACCTGCATCCTTTGCCATCTTCCCTCATTCCCCCGTGAGCCTCTGGCTTTTCACCCACCAGGTGCCTGCCGTGGAGCACGGATTTCGGGCTGGCAGATAACGCTCAGCCATCCCCAACACCTCACTCTGCCCAAAGCCTCTTTCCTACCAACACCCCCTGCTCCATCGCTGCGGCCCTTCCCGCTCTCCGGCCATCCATGAACTTCTTGGCTCCAGCATCAGCTCGGGCAGCTGCAGCAGAAAATTAAAATTCTAATTAAAAACCCCAGAGCCTGATGTCTTGTCCCTCCCTGTGCTGCCCCGACCGCTTGTTGCTTCCTCAGACACTCCCTAGCTCTCCCCGGTGCTCTCTTTTTTATTATTTTTTTCTTTTTTACCTGCACTTCCCTGCTCCCACGAGGATCTAGGACACTAGGGCTCCGAATCAAACCCCAGTGCCCAGAGGAGGAGAAACAAAGGCGCCAGATACCAAAACACTCAAACCCCCGCCGTTCGCCCCGCACTCCCAGGCGGCCTCATCCTTCTCCCACCGGTGACAGCCGCGTCCTCGGCCGCGAAACCGAGGGGGAAAAGGATGGGAAAAGGATGGGAAAAAGAGGGAGTAAAGGGGGCGGGAGGTTCTCCCGTGCCGCCCGCCCGTGAGCGCTGACACGGCCCCGCGAGTGCCCGCGCTCCCCCCGCCGCGGCCCCGGCACCGCCCGCCGCCGCCTCCCCGCGCCCGCCCCCGTCTCCTCCGCCCTGCGCGCCCCGGCCGCCGCTCCTCGGGCCGCGGGTGCGGGGGGTGCGGGCAGAGCCCCCGCCGCGGCGAGATGGCGATCGGCACCGCGCGGCTGCCCCGGAGGCCGCGGCCGCGCTGCGGCCGGAGCCGGAGCTGCTCGAGGGGATGCGGAGCCGTGGGGAGAGCCGTGCTCGTGGGGCCGGTTCCGGGCACGGGGGGACGGGTCCCGGCCGTGGGGTGAACCCCTGGGGCTAATCCCGGTGGTGGGGTGAGGCCGGGCCCCGGAGTGAACCCTGGCCGTGAGGTGAGGCTCAGGCGTGGGACGAAGCGCAGCCGAGGGGCAGAGCCCGGCCGTGGGGTGAACCCCAGGCTGGAGGTGAACCTCAGCCCCGGGATTCATCCCGGCCGTGGGGTGGTACGTGTCCCTGGGGTGAATTCCGGCCACGGGGCCAAGGCTTGGCCCCAATCCCCTCCACGTGCCGTGCTGGGATCTCGGCCCGGCCTTTGGGGCGAGGGGGTGCTCGGGGTCAGGCTGTTTTGGGGAGACGCTGCTCTCTGGCCGCCTTTTGCCGCTGGTTTCTCCGTGGGTTTCTCCGCAGCAGTTCCGTAGGAGGAGGAGGAGGAGGATGACAGGAGTGTCACCTGCAATAAAAGCTGGGCTGCCAGCCCAGGCGTTGAAGGAAAGCAAGCACTTAAACGCTGAGTTTTGTGACAGTCTGGGGCTCGCTTGTTAAACTGCAGTGCTCCTGCTGGATGTGGTGGAGGGCTCTGTTGCTCCCAGCCACACCACGTTTTATCTGACCTTCTGGAAATCTTTAGAGCAGTGGCTTTTATCGGGCCCTTTTGGAAACTTTGAATAGGCTGAGTATTTGTTTTGGGGAGGTACGACTTCTCCTGAGTTGCCGTGCTGATAAAGATTTTACACGGCCTTGGTTAAGCAGGGAATTTCTGACAATTGAAATGTGAAGCTCCCCCACAACTCAGAGCTAACCTAGAGGGGCAAACACCCACCCAGGAGTTGTTCACGGCGTGCAGACATGGCTGATGATGAAAATGATGGCTACGTGTTTATTTTTAAAAAGAAAAAAAAATAGCATATTACTCCTCACAACAGGGGGAATTCCTAGAATCATTGTATCATCCTGTATCCCCCTTTGGAGGGCCAGAGAGCTCTGGTGAAGGCAGAGCAGGGCCTGACAGGGATTTCATCTCTGTGCTCTCCCTGTGAAAAACAGGGAAATGGTTCTGTCACACGTCCCTGTCCCGGAGGGCAGCATCCACGGGCACGGCTGTGGTGCCTCCCGGCACACCCAGGCTGGATCTGCCTGGAGTTTTGCTCTGTGCCACAGCCTGACCTGGTGTCCTGGACAGAGCCCTGCTCCCTCCCCACCAGGGAGGTGTTTCCAGCCTGATTCCAGAATTCGGCTCTGGAGGAGACGGAGAGCGTGCGCTGCTGACACCTCACTGCTCCGTGCTCTGGAATAACGATCCAGCCTTGGCTCTCCCAAACAGAACTTGTGTTTGAGCTCCAGCCCGGGCATTAGCTCTCCTCCAGAGGTGACTCCAAAAGCCCTGCAGTGTGCCTGCTGGGCTTGACAGAACAGTGGAAATTCTGCAGTGCTCTGCTGCCTGCTAAGCAAACCCCGTTAAACACTTTCAGTTTTGTTCCCTTCTTACTATTAAAAGCGGGGGCTGCTCTGAGTGCTGAAGTACAGCACAATTTAATTTATTCCCTTTTATCTCTTCCTACAGGGGCTCTTTCTCATTTCGTTTGTGCATTTAATTGGCGGATAAAACTCAGGGTAAACGGCCCATAGGTGTTTTCCTGTGCAAAGTTTAGTTTCCTGCCACCCTTGGAAGGCCAGAGCCGAGCTGAGGGCTGGACAAACTCACCCTGGCTGCAGCAGGGAAAAGGCAGAACTTTGCAGATCCCTGGCTGTGGAGTTTCCCACCCGTGACTGCCACCAGAGCTGTGCCAGCAGCAGTCCCAGCTGCAGGAGCAGTTATCTGCACAAGTGCACTCTTACTGATAGAGCTTGTTTGCCTTGCCTGGAGGGTGTTTCCCTGGCCCTGGGAGCAGAGCTGCTTCCAGGGATGGAGCCTGCTCAGGCATTCACCTGCCTGCCTGGGAAGGAAGGGGAAGGGAAGGGAAGGAAAAGTTGCTCCAGGTGTACTTGCCACGTTTGGCTCTCCTCTTCCCATCCAGAACCTGTAGGAGCCCCGTCACGTTTGCAGTGGGAATTCTCTTGTGGAAGTAAGTGACGTTATGGGCATTCTCTTTCCATGGGATGAAGCTTCCATTTCTTGGGAGAAACTGGGAGCATTGTGTTGTTTCCCATGAGCAGCCGTGGTTTTGCAAAAAGCCAGGCAGGCTTTTGACCAAGTTTAGCTTTCACACCAGTCCTGGGAGAAAGAAGCCAGAAAGTGATCCCAAGGTGTGTGTGTGTCTCTCTTATCAGGAGAATAAAAAAGCACCAGTGGAGAAAAATTAATTAATTTCCACACTGGGTAAGCCTCTACTTAAATTTAAATCTAAACCACCAAGAATTAAGACTTGGAGTTAGGTAGATCACAGCAGCCACTGGCTTTTTTCTTTGAGTCCATGTGCACAAATGGAGGGATGTATTTCTTCTTATTAAAACCCTCCCCAAGGTTTTAGGTGATAAAATTATCCATCAGTAATGTGCATAATTTCCAGGCAAACTTTCTTGAACCACCCCCAGAAATTCTGCTTCTATCAGCTGTAATCTGCTGGACATATTTGGGTTACTTGGGCTTAAAAGGGGAGATAAATCCAAATAAGTGCTTGCTTTTTACTTGCTCACTGTTTAGTGGAAAGAGGTTTGGGCAGTGCCAAGAGGGCTCTCGAGGCACGGGACTGTAACCTGATTTGCAGACTACTGAGAGAGCAAAAGTACCAGTGGAGCTTAGTTTTTTGGGAGCATAAGATGGCATTTGTGAAAACTTTAAAAAAAAAAAAATTAAAGTTAAAATATGTCTTAGGCATATTTAGATTCAGGAGGATTTGCTGTGGATTTAGTGCTTTAGAGCATTAAATGCTAAGCCTCTTGTAACACTTTTTTTTTTGTCCAGATTCTGTGGTTCTCTTGATGGCAGGCTTGGGTGCTTGTTGCAGTGACAGTGTGGTGTAACTTCACCTTCTGATTAATTCTTTGGCTTTCCAGTGATTTGTCTGTGCAGCTTCTCCATCTCACCTCTAATGATTTTAAAACAAAAAAAAAAAAAACCCACACCCCTCTCAAAACAAAAACAAACACCAAACTGAAGTTACTCTAAGTAAAAGGGAGCACTGGAAGAAAATTTTCCTGGAATCCTGGCTAGAAGAACAGCTTTTGCAGTTTCTTGGGCATCTCCTGACAGAGATGTCACTTCAGGAGCGTTCAGCCAGCACCAGGAAGCGACTGGGCAGGTGCTCATGGAAAACAGGATGAAAGACAGGCAGAGATGCTCTGTGTGCTGTCCTGCACAGGGATAAAGGAACACATTTTATCCCTTGGAGGGGGAGATGTCCAACCAGCACTTAGCAAAATGCTCCAGGATGAACAAAAAGCAGCTCCGGGCAATTGCAGCTCCCAGTCAGGTGCAGTCAGGGATTTTGGGAGCTGCACCCAGAGCAGGGGAGAGAAAAGCAGCCCAGTGAGCTGCTGGGAGTAATTTAACCACAGTTTGTAGGTCGTGTGAGCTCAGCCCTGCTCTGGCATTTCCTGAGGGCAATCATTAGTGCAGTTTATGAGTGCACAGCACCACTTGTGCTCAGCATCCACCTGGGTGGGGTGTACTGTCTTCCCCATTCTGCTTGGTGGTTTTTCTGAGAAAGACAGAAGAAATGTGAATAAAAGGGCTGTGGGACTCCAGATGCAGATTTGCAGGGTATGAAGGCTGGGGTGTAAGTGCATGTTCTAAAATTAAGATTTTCCCTTCAGCAGGAGTTCAGTTTTGGGTTCCCCCCACTTGCAGCTGGAGGGTTGGGAAATTTCAGACGTGAAGAGACAAATCCTTCAGAACACCCTGCCACCATCCCTTGTTGATTTGAATCTGGATTATTCCTTACCCTACACAAAGCATGAAGGGAAACCTCTTGTGCCCTCAGCCAGGAGCAGCAGGAATTTTTATGGAGGCAGCTCTTGTCCCCGTGGGCTTTTCCCCTTCCCAGGTTCTGCACCCACCTGTACTCTCCAGGGGCTGTGCTGGGAACAGGAATGCAAAGCAAAGCTCCTTTATCCTGGCCACCAGCCCTTCCACAATTAGCTCTCCAGGTCAACAGCTCCCCACACTGCTGCTTCCAACAGCCTGGAAGGGAAGGCCCAATTAAACATTTTACATGATTTTTTTAAAGGCAGAAAAAGTTCCTGGGCTGAGGCAGCTGGGCTGGCTGCAGGAGAGGGAGGAATGTTTAGCCTTGTGTTGCTGCAGAGGCACCCTCCTCCTTGCTTTGGTGTCAAACACGTTTTTTTAAGTTCACCAGATTCCAGGAGTACAAAGGAAAGTACAAAACCCATAAGCTTTTGGTCAAGCTGTTAATAATAATCAGGCTTTGTGGCTGGTGTTCAAGTTTGCTGTTTACCCTTTAGGGCAGCTGAATGAATTGCTCGGGTAGTTTTCCCCTTGCTTTTCAGGAATGCTTCCATCTGAGTGGACATCTTTGTGCCTTCTAATCACAAATTAGTTTTGCTTTCTTTCTATTTTTTTTTTTTCTTCCTAAGAAATCAATCTAAAGGCCCTTTCAAAAGGCTCTGGATTTAAGCACCATCTAAAGAGAGTGCTGAAGCCCTCCTTCTGCAGATTTGTAGCTCTTTTTTTTCCATAGGATGCTCCCAGGAAAACTGAGAAAGGGGGAAAATCAGAAAACATACTTTGTATGCTTTGCTTCCTGTGTGAGATCACAAGGGGGGATGTATATCACCAAAAAAAAAGTCTTTTATCCTGAGTCAGCCTCGACACGTGGAGAATACCCTTCGCTCTTCCCGCTTCTCTATAGCTCAAAATTCAATTTCTACTTCTTGTGTTACATTAATTTACAACTGGCCCTGGCAGTGGGAAAGAGCTAGCACAGGATGAACGGCTGCCCAGGCAAAATTCCCACTTGTGAACGCCTTTCCTTGAATCCCTCTTTGTTCTGGAAGGTTAAGAAAGCAAAAGGAAAGCAGGCCCAGGTGACTTCTCACATACCAGAACATTCCCAGGTGCCAGGAAGAGCTGGCCTTACCTTTTTTTCCCCTCCATCCAAGTCACATCTTGCCACTGGGAGCAGGTCAGTCTCCAGGGACGTGTTTGTACCTGTGCAAGGAGCCTCTTCCTCCTCCTCCTTAGTCTGGAGCAAAAGACAGGGAAGGAGAAGAATTAGGAATGCTTGGAGTGCATGAGAAGCACATCTATTGAATATTTTGAGACCTGTGGACAGACCAGGAGGTTTGAGACTAGGTGGTTTTTTTTGCAAGGTGTTTTCCTGCCTGCTCTAGGAACCCCCAGGTGCTTCCTGTGCAGGTAAAGGGGGAATAATTCAGTTTTAAGTCACTGGCCATTTATTTCGTGGCAGCTGCATGTCTGAACAAAACAACCCTGGACGTGGGGAGATGACTATAACTCACAAGTATTTTCTGCTTGGAAAATTACCTGGTTGAAAAGCTCAGGCTGTCAACAAGGCTCCAGCATTCCTGAATCCTTACCTGCCTCTTGACCTACCCACTGTGTCTGTGCTCTTCCTTTACTCTGCATTTCTGTACAGCAGGGGAGGTAGCAGCAGCCCTTTGGACTGCATTTTCTTCTTCAGCTTCCTTTCAGAGAGCTCTGTAATTAAGCTCTCACCTGCCAGTAGGTTAAGAAACAGCAGAAAACCAACCTGTTTGAAAAGCTACAGCAAAACTTGCCAAAGGTATTCCCTGCCTTTAGGTGAAATCCCTTCACGTGGCTGAACAGAGGAGCCCACACAAGCTGAGCCTCTCTTGTGGAGCAGGCAGCCCAGAGAAGCTGTGCCTGCCCCAGGATCCCTGGAAATGTCCAAGGCCAGGCTGGACAGGGCTTGGAGCAGCCTGGGACAGTGGAAGGTGTCCCTGCCCATGGCAGGGGATGGAACTGGATGGGCTTAAAGGTCTCCTCCAGCCCAAACCAGTGTGGGATTCTGTTTGGAAGTTTAAGTAAGGTGGAAGTGCTCACGGGAAAGACTGGGATAATCAGATACAGAAGCAGCTGAACTATCTTTCAATATGCAAATAATATGCTTTGCTCAGGCTATTAGGCAAACTTTTTTTTTTTTTAATGCAAAGTACATTTAAACACACCCTCTGGAGAAGAGGGTTTATTCCTATAAACTGGGTTTTTTAACAGATCCCTTCTCTCTTCTCTGAGCATACAAGCCCAGCTACTTTGAGCACTAGTGCAGCATCCTGTGGCCTGTTCAGGCTGAAAAGGCTCATTTATTGTGCCAGTGATTGCAAAACAGTTTCCACTATCAGTGTGTGCTTTTTCCTTTGGCTCTTTTTTTTCTTTTTCTCCTCCTTCCTTTTAAAATCTTGAGCTCTGACTCATCCAAACTCACCTGTGGTTGAACAAGGCAAGCCTTCTAACCCTAAAGCTGTTTGAATTCAGTTTTTCAGTGGCAGATTTCTTTGGATTGTTGAGGCAGAGTAACTGAAGTGTTGCTGGGCTTTGCTTATTTTGTGGAAGTGCTGGCAGTCTCCCACTGAAAAGGGAAGATGACACCGTGGCTGTGGAAATAATCTCATTTCTTTCCTCCTAGCCCAAACTTTGCTTTGAAGGACGAAAGGGTATTGATGATTCCAGCTTGGTATCTTAGGCTTGCTTCATTGAGAAGACCTCAGCGTGCATGGATTCGGAATTCCCCGTGTAGTTTTGCTCAAAAACGAGGTCAATAGCTGACTCCTCTCCAGGTATTGATCCTGAGGAGCTGAGTGAGGCACAGCCTGAGCAGGTCTGGGTCATTTCGGAGTGACTGAATGGGTGTAAATCAGCCTTGTCAGCAGAGCAGCCCTTCCCCTCCCGGCTCAGAGGGACACTGGCACACCACAGCCTTGCCAGCTCACTCTGCCCGTGCTGTTGGCAGTTCTGTGTCTCCCCAATCCCAGGAAAACTCCCTGCTTTAAGCTGCAGCCATACCTGGCTGCTTCTCTGCCATGCCCGCAGCCCAGGCCGGTGTTTTGTCTTGATCCAGCGCTGGTTCCTTCCTTCCCCACACTCTCGGTGACCAGCTCCTAATCCTTTAAGCCACTCTGTCCTGGATCTCATTAGAAGCCCAGCACTCCCCAGGGGATGGAGCAGCATTGCAAATGGGTCATTTCTCTGAAACAGTGCAAGATACTTATTTATTTACACAAGCACGCTGTTTAAACCAGCCCTTTGGGGGCTTCTGATGACATTTATTTACAGGCTGGCTGCTGGGAACGCTTCTTGCCCTACAGTGGCCCCTTGCTTGCATTTCTGGTAAGCAGAGCCTTGTTTTGGGGAGCAGCCTGCCCTGTGTTTGCACGTGAAGCAGCTCTGGAAGCACAAAGGGTAAAAGGCACCTGCAGACACAGTGAGCTATCCAGGAGTTGTCATGCACTCTTCTGAGAGGTAACAGGCTGCTTCCAGCAGGGAGGAACTGTTCCTTTGCAGTGAGGAGTGACTCTAAAGCAAGCACATCAGTAAAAAGCAGCTGTGTAGGGTTTCCATGCAGTAAATAGTTCAGCTGGTCCTGTAAGTGGGGGCGTGACACGGAGGAAGAGGAAGGGTGGAAACCTGGATATGCTTGTGTTACCTGTGATTTAAGAAAAGGCTGCTTCATTTAGAGGAGGTGAGGGAATGAGGGGAATAACTAGTGGGTGTATGTCAGTGGGACAATTAGCATTTCCATCAAGTGAGTGCCAGTTGGCTCTGGAATTAATGAAACACAGCTCGTTCCCTTCCTTCCCACTCCTCCCCTTGGCTTTTGCTCTTTGCTTCTGACTTGTCTGTGCTTCTCTGGGCTCAAAGAAATAACGTGGAGCCCCCCTGGGACCCCAGCACCACTGAATTTACTGCCAGCTGCAGGTTCCTGGTTACCTCTTACCTTTCCCTAGTCCCAGCTTGAATTCCCTCGTGCTCTGTGTCAGACTTCCCTTAGGGATTCTTTCAAATCTCCCCAAACATTGTTTTGGAATTGTTTGAGGGATTATTTTTTTTAATTAAAAAAACATGATGAGGCATTTATATTTGGTTCCCTGCTAATCTCTATCCCCAGTCAGGGTACTTGGAATAAGAAGCTGGAAAGACACAGTACCTGGGAGGGCAGACTCAGGTTGCTCCTTGAATTCTTGGTGTACACAGAGGTGGTTGGACACAGTCCTGCAGGAAAGCACCACGACAAAAGCTCAGATCCATGCTGAAGACCACCAGAATTCCCCATTCCCCAATATTTTCTTGCTGATTTACACACCCTAGATGCTGTATACAGGGATATAGCAAATAGTTTACCTTAAGCTAACACATCTGCACACACCCCAGCCCCGGCAGGTTTCTTTGAATCCCCTCACCATACCCTTGAACAATCAGCTGATTTTCCTGCCCCACATTGGAGGAAACCCAGTTTTTGTGCTTGTGCCTATTGGCAGCCCGAAATGGAGAAACTTTTGCCACACTCCCCCAGAAGCAGAGCAGAGCAGACAAGCAGCCTCTGCAGCCACTCAGGCCTGACTCCAAAGCACAGAAATGGCCATGGAGACGAAGAAGAGACGCAGAGGGTGCCGTTTGGGAGCTCCCAGCCCAGCCGCCCGGCGTCGGACAACGTGCGCGTACACACGCGCGCGCCCCGGCAGCCAGCACGCGCCTAATTCCTGGGAGGGATCACCAGATGGGAGGGGATGGACACTCAGCTGTGCTCACAGGAAGGAAGAGCCACTCAGGCCTGGCTGCTGGATGGCTTCCAAAATGTTTTTTGGCAGCTTGACTCAGCCGTGTGCAGAGGCTGGGGGGAAAAGGAGAGGATCACAAAGAATGTCACAGGGCTGCAGCAGGAGGCAGGCACAGCTCTTCTCCATTTGCCTCCTCATTTAGGCACTGAAGTATCAAACAGCTTTTGGGCACTGCAATTTAAGAATTGCACCTTCTACACTCTTTGGGAAAGGGAATGTGTGCTTGAAAGCCAGAAGTTCCTGTTGTTTGCTGCCCAAAAAAACATTTCTTCATATTAAAAGCCTCTGCTGCAACCCAGTAGCTCAGCCTTTGCTGTCTGACACTCTTCACACCTTCAGCAGCGTTCCATTACTCATTTCTTTTCTCCAGGCTTCAAATGATAGTCAGCATGCCTCATACACAAAAACAGCCCAGCAAATAAAACAGCATAAAACTCCAAAAGTCCAAGGAAAAGGCAGGCACAGACTTAAACACAGTACCTGCCCTTGGCCCTTTTATATCCACCTCAGAGAGCTGCTTAGGCTCACCCAGGACCACACTTAGGGTTACAGCTGAGTAATCCTGCTCTGCCAGTCCCCTCTGGGTTTTTTGGACCAAAAGAGTTCCATTAGGAACCCCCAGAGTTTAAATATTGTTCTTACTAAAGCACTGATGTCCTCATCTCCAGGATTTCTGTAATTGACACAAAACGAGGAAGAGATTCTGTGTTTAATTTACATGAAATCAGGGCTGGATCTGTAGCAGAGAGCAAGTTTTAGTAGCTTCAGAAGTTTTCCAAGGGGAGCCTTTAGGAGAAAAGCCTGCCAGAATTTGCACTGACGCGCATCGGATTTTGGAGCTCACAGATCCAGGGAACTCAGTGTGGTTCCATGAAGATTGAGCAAAACCAGGTTGGGATTTCTGGATATTGTTTTAGTTCCAGGAAAAGCAGAGTGGGAGATAGGAATGGCAGGAGTTGGGAGCCCAGGCAGAATCCATTTTTTGCCTAAGAACAAAATTACACACGGTGACTTTCAGGTCTTGCTCAATGTTGCTGTGATGCAGAAGGACAGACAGAAAAAAAAAAAATGCATTTGATTTAGGTTTGTTTTCCCCTTTCTGTAACTGTGGCAATGACACTGCTGCCTGTTTGACTCACCACGATTTCAAAGCAATATTCAAGTGACTAACAGCTGAAAAATGCTCGTGTCCTTTGCCTCCCAGCTCAGGGCTCGCTCCTCTGGAAAGCCCTGATGGCCACACATTGCTCTGCACTGGCACAGCACCTCTGTATTTCAACATCATTTATTTGCCAAGGAGCAGTCCTGCAGCTTTCAGATGCTGTCAGGGGCTCACTGGGCATCTCTGGGCTGGTGTGGATGACAGGGGGTGGCTCAGGAGGTCTCAGCACCGTGGTTTTAAGGACTTCAGCACAGAGCACTCACCCAAATCCTGGGTTTGGACAGCAAAGCTTGCTGTGCCTTGGGTCCAAGTGCCGTAGATCAGTTTGAGCTCTGACAGATGAAGCAGCAAGGGCAGGTGGAACAGGGCTCCTGTGGCCTGGCAGGGCTGTGAGGAGTCTGTTCAAGTGCTGCCCACTTTCACACCAGCACCTGAAGAGCCAAGATAAACCCAGCAAAACCCAAGCAGCAGAGATTTGGCACTCCCGAAGCGCAGCCTGCTTGCGTGGGGGGAAAAGGCTGTTGTGATTTTGGGGTTCTGGAGCAAAGATGGAAGCATTTCAGGTGTAACCCCGTGTCCTTAAGTAACTGGTTCCCTTCATGGCCCCGTGCCAGGCAGTGTGAGCACAGAATCCTCTTATCCCGTAGCTCTGCTGGCCATGTGACCTCACCTGGAAGTGACAGGGGGCTATAATTAGATGTGGGGCTCACATTTGCCCCTGCAGTTTCCTTAGGCCTTGGTCAGGGAAGGGAAGCAGCAGCCCTGTAACTGAGCCCCTTGGCAGGGGGACAGCCCTGACAGCTCCTGCTGTGTGCCAGAACGCTGGAATGGCTGTCAGCATCAGCTGGAAAACCCTGCAGGACTTGACCCTCGTAGAGGGAAAGTGGCATCGTTGGTTAGCTGGACTTGCTGAGCAGAACCCTCAGCTTGTTACCTCAAATTCAGGTTGGAGCTGTTTGAGGAGCTTCACACCTACTGCAGCTGGCTGGAGGAGAGTCTGGATGAGGGAAGAGCTGCATCCTCTGGAGCAGCTGCTTTGGATTTGGATGAAGTCAAGGCTCGTGGATTTTGTGTGTCTGGGGAGGAAAAGACCAGCAAATTTGGTTAATACTGTGTTTTTAAATCAGCCCTGCTCAGCACAACAGCCTAGGGAGGCATGGAATAAAACCTCTCCCTGTGTCCCCTGGCAAGTGGATGGTTTTTGAATGGGACATCAGAGCTCCCTTCTGACAGTCAGGACAATTGGATGAATGTGGTGTGCACAGGCTCATCCTTAGGCTTCTGATATTCACATTTTGCACTGGGCTGGAGCCCTTTGTGCCCCAGAACTGCTAAATGGGAGCTTTACCTGAGCTCTTTTTATGGCTCCTGGGCCATTAGGAATACAAAGGTCTTGACTAATCCCGAGGATGAAAAAGCACAGAACACAAAAGCTGGATAGTTAATGGGGAAATGGAGCTAATTTGCAATTTGGAGCAGTGGAGTAGTGAGACTTTGTAAGTAGAAGTTAAGAGCCTTCCCTTCAATCCTTAGTTCCCTGTGCAAGCTATAGGAGGGAACAATCTGGGAACAGCAGAATGCTTCTGATCTTGTCTGCAGGTTCTGCACAGTGCAAACAGCTCTGTGGGTTATGTGGGATAAACTGGGAAAGCCAGCAGGTGACTGCAGAAACCCCAACTTCCTAGGAAGAAATGCTCTTCTCCATCCCAGAATTCAGTCCCACAGCTACTGCGCATAAACTCTGGGACGTGGTGTTGCAGGGTATCCCTGGGAAAGGTCAGCTCGTGGCAGGACAGAAAGGAAGGAGTGCTGTGCAGTAACAGTTAGTTGTGGTGGTCTTTCAGACTAACAGGGATGCCAAAGGAAAAATATGATCCTCCAGATCCTCGCAGAATTTACACCATCATGTCGGCGGAAGAGGTGGCCAACGGGAAGAAGTCGCACTGGGCTGAATTAGAGATCTCGGGTGAGTTGGTTTGGGGTTGAAATTCCCACAGCTGCTGCCCCAGACCACTCCAGATCCAGAGGGGGTCCAGACTGAAGAGGTGTTTCAGTTCCTTGCTTTGCTCTTGCAGGGAGAGTGCGGAGCTTAAGCACGTCGCTGTGGTCGCTGACACACCTGACTGCTCTGCACCTCAATGACAACAACCTTACTCGCATTCCACCTGATATTGCCAAGCTTCACAATCTGGTTTACCTGGATCTGTCATCCAACAAACTCAGAAGTTTACCAGCAGAACTAGGAAACATGGTGTCTCTCAGGTGAGGGGAATTATTCTGGTTCACTTCACAAAAAGTCTCTAGCGTGGGATCGGGACCGAGAGTTTCAGTTTGTTTCTCTGTATTTCAAATAATTCTGAAAAACTCCAGGATGGTGCAGAGCTTTGGTTCTGATAATTACTTCTGGCCTTTTTTTCTGATTGTTGATATATCACTGTTTCCATCCCTGGTTTCTTCTTGGGCTTTGTGGCTTTTTTCCCCCTCATGGATGTATTTCACTCATGCTTTGACACGGGAAGATTGGCATATCTTTCCTTAATAAAACTCAGGGTGAAAAGTGTTCTTGAGGACAAGCAGTGTACAGCACCTTAGGAGTTTCTTCTGCAGTAATACTCACCCAGAGTGTTTTTGCATTTGCTGCAGGGAATTGCTTTTAAATAACAATCTGTTACGGGTTTTGCCTTATGAACTTGGACGGCTCTTCCAGCTGCAAACCCTGGGTTTGAAAGGTGAGCTCTTCCCAGTTCCATATTCTTATGAATTCTCGGGAATCTGAGGGGGGACTGGCCTCAAAATCTTCCTCTGTTACCTGTAGGTTTTCTTACAGGTTATTTTAAGCATTAAGTTGGTAGCAAAATGGCCAGGCAGTTGGGAGAACAATGCTTCTCTTTCTTAATGCTGCTAAACTTCCTCAGGAGCTCATTTCAAATCCGCAGTCAGGGAAATAAACCCTTTAACCTGCCGAGTTAATTTGTCTGTTCTCTTTCTGGGAGGTTTTCTTTGGGTGGAAAGCCTCAAGAAAGGCAGGCAGCTGATCCCCCTGCTGTTGTTTTGTGCTGTTGGCAGGCAATCCTTTATCCCAAGATATTCTCAGCCTCTACCAGGATCCAGACGGAACCCGAAAGCTACTGAACTACATGCTTGACAATCTAGCAGGTACAGCCCTGGGGATGTGGTGCACAAAGGCTTTAAAAGTAGGATTTGCTGTTAAAACAGGACTGTGAACCACTGGAGGGAGAGTATTCCTTCCCTGCTGTAGTGTTTTTGGCAGGTGGCTCCAGTCACATCCCAAAACACACCCGGTGGAAGAGGCTGATGTGTACTGTCTAAGGGTTTCCAGTGTTACAGCCACATGTTCTCCCTGTTCTGTCTGAAACCCTTCAATTACCCACCTTGCTGAAGCCATTTTGGTTCTCCCCACCAGAAATAATCATTTGAATGCAAGCAGAATGTCAAATTTAGCTCGAGAAGCACAAAAGCCATGAAGAACATCCAGTACCTGCCCTCAGTCCTGCTGTAACTGAGCCTTCTGCTTTGCCACTCCATGTCTCCTAAGTCAGGGCACTGCAGGAATGATGGATGCAGGGCAAGGTTCTTGGAGAAGGGATGGCTGAACCATGCCAGGATTTACCCCTCCTTCTCCAGCAGATTATTCCATGTGCAGGAATATTTCGGTGGTGCTTCTGAATCTGAAAAGAAGAGACAAAAATAGTCACAAATCTTAGAAATGACAATTTTTTTCCCCTTTAAATGATTTTTGCCTCCCCTAAAGACTCGGGGAGTTGGGGATGCAAAACACATTATTGTTCAGTCATCACTTTGACTTAGGAACTGTAACTTACAAATAGAAACTCTGAATCAATCACTGGTTTAATTTTTTTTTTGCAGTTCATCCAGAGCAGCTGCCTCCAAGGCCATGGATTACTTTAAAAGAACGAGACCAAATCCTGCCCTCAGGTAAATCTGTGTTCACAAGGTGACACACTGGGAAACTTAGCCTGGGCTTCCTTTTCCTGCATCAGAGTGAAAACAGCAATTTGTTCATTTGTACTAGAAAAATTACCTGTGCTGTAAATACCATTTTTGGGACGCTGGGCATTTCTTTTCCACGCTGGGCTTTGTCACAGCTCTTCCAGCCACTCTTCCCCAAGCCAAAGAGACAATCTCCAGAGGCTGACAACCTTTCCCTTTCTCTGTCTCTCCTTGCAGCTTCATTTACAGTCATGTGTTACAATGTGTTGTGTGATAAATACGCCACCCGGCAGCTCTACGGCTACTGCCCCTCCTGGGCACTCAACTGGGAGTACAGGAAAAAGGGAATCATGGAAGAAATAGTCAACTGTGATGCAGACATCATTAGTCTTCAGGTAATAAAACATAACTGCATTTTCCATCAGAAACAGAAAATATCAACCTACACCTTTAGGATTAAATGTTCCCTTGGGAGCACCGTAGTGCTCCATAGCAAATTCCAGGTCGTCCCAATGCAAGCTGTGTATCTGTATTCCAGTGTCAGACACATCAGGTGTGGTCTGCTGCTCTTCAAAACAGACCTGTCACTTTGCCTGTGGGAGGGATTCCAGGAATGCACATCCATTCCCAGCAGGCCGTTAGTCTAGGAAGGGACATGGGTCTGTGCAGCTTTTCTGCCTGCAAGCCCGGGCAGGCACAAGGAAGGGTTTCCTTCACTTCTTTAGCCTGAGGTGTTTGTGTCCAATTGCAGGAAGTGGAAACGGAGCAATACTTCACCCTTTTCCTGCCGGCCTTGAAAGAACGGGGATACGACGGCTTCTTTTCTCCAAAGTCACGTGCCAAAATCATGTCGGAGCAGGAGAAAAAACACGTGGATGGCTGCGCCATATTCTTCAAAACGGAAAAGTAAGGGCAGCAGCAGCTTCTGAAATTCACACTAAAACCTCAGAACAGCTCCCAGTAATTAGGATGGAGGTTTCCCAAAGCCTGAGCTGCCTCCCGGGGTTTTCGCTGCTTCCAGAAAGAAAAACGCAGCTCTCGGGTCGGGTCTAGAACCAGCTGGAGTGGTTTGGAAGAGAGGGAGCCTGTGGGAGCAGACAGGGATGGGGACACTGCCACGGGGGCAGTGTCACAGCTGCTCACTGGGGTTCTCTCCCCGTTGCCCAGGTTCACTCTGGTGCAGAAGCACACGGTGGAGTTCAACCAGGTGGCCATGGCCAACTCGGAGGGCTCGGAAGCCATGTTGAACAGAGTGATGACCAAGGACAACATCGGGGTCGCCGTGGTGTTGGAGGTGCACAAGGAATTATTTGGAGCAAGTGAGTATGACTGTGGTGTCCTCGCTGCTGCTCAGCTCCACAGACAGGCACGAGTTGTTCCTAGGTGATCCATGCCGTTCCCCTTGGTGGTGCAGCCCATGGGTGGCTCAGACAGGCACAGAGGACATGGTCTGGTTGTGCTCACAGCAAGATGCCCAGCATTTGCTTTTCTCCTCTGAGGCTTTTATCCCCGCTTACTTACTCTGTTACATTCTGCTTGAGCTGCTCAGCCTTCCCAAGGTCACTGTGTTTACACACATTTGCTCTTACCAGTAGTTGGCAACAATGTTCAACTTCTATTTTCAACTCTCTTTTCCTCCCCTGGATTGACTCCTTCCACCCTCCCCCAGGGATTAGATGTCAGTGCTAATGTACCGATGTGGAAGGAGGAGATTATCAGGTATCTTTTCCTGCCTCTTGATTGACTGACTGTCACATTTTCATTAAGTTTGATCAGATGCAGCAGACAATTCCAGCGCGGGTAAAACTGCCGCCCTGCTCTGTCTGCATGGCTGGGAGTTTTCATGGCTTCAGAGGAGGCTGGAAGGAGCTCCCTGGGCATTTCAGCAGGTTTAAGCAATGAAAGCACACCCATCTGCTGGTGTGTCTGACCCTGAGGAGCTACACCCCGAGTGTGAACAAGCAGGACCACAGAACCTTTCACTGCTGCCGTTGTTTGCCCAGGTATGAAATCGCTTCACGTGGACAAGCAGCTGCTCATCGTGGCCAATGCCCACATGCACTGGGACCCCGAATACTCAGACGTGAAACTCATCCAGACCATGATGTTCGTCTCAGAGCTGAAAAACATCCTGGAGAAAGCCTCGAGCAGGCCCAGTAGCCCGACAGCAGATCCCAACTCTATCCCTCTGGTGCTGTGTGCGGATCTCAACTCGCTGCCTGATTCAGGTAAGGCTGGGTGTTGGGCCTGACTTTTAACTTACCTTCTTAGGATGTTAGGGTCCACTTTTTCCCCTGAAGGCGAGGGGGTTGTTTTGCACTGCCCAGGGAAGGTGTGGGTGAGAGCTTTCCTAGGAACACCTGCCTTTGGAAATCTGGCTGAAGAGACCGCGAGCCCTCCGGCTGAGTCGCCTGCTTTTCGTGCTCAGCTGGACACTCCAGGAGAGCTGGCTGCACCTACAAAAGTGTAGAAAAGCACAGTTAGCTCTTAAATAAGTCATTATTAAATAAACATCCATGCCTGAAGCAGCAATAAGAAGGTAGGAAAGAAGCGAGTTCCTGATGAAGACTTTCTAAGGAGAGGGGTTTGCTTTGCTAACTCTGAACTCATGGTGCCTTAGTGGTTTATAACACCCCAAAGCTGTCTTTGCAAGCAGCTCCCTAAACCCTTCCCCTTGCCCCCAGGTGTCGTGGAATACCTGAGCAACGGCATAGTAGCCGACAACCACAAGGACTTCAAGGAGCTGCGCTACAACGAGTGTCTGATGAACTTCAGCGGCAACGGCAAGAACGGAGCCTCGGAGGGCCGCATCACGCACGGCTTCCAGCTCAAGAGCGCCTACGAGAACAACCTGATGCCTTACACCAATTACACTTTCGACTTCAAAGTAAGCCCCGCTCCCCGGGAGGCTGTCGGTGCCCTGACCTCGGCTGCCCCCGGGCCGATGAGCACGGGATGCGGGGCGGGATGCGGGGCGGGATGGGATGCGGGGCGGTGCCTGCCCTCACTGCGCTCTCTCTCCCCCTCTCTCCTCAGGGTGTGATTGACTACATTTTCTACTCCAACACTCACATGAACGTGCTGGGCGTGCTGGGCCCTTTGGACCCTCAGTGGCTGGTGGACAACAACATCACGGGCTGCCCGCACCCGCACATCCCCTCGGACCACTTCTCGCTGCTGACGCAGCTGGAGCTGCAGCCGCCGCTGCTGCCGCTGGTGAACGGCGTGCACCTGCCCTCCCGCAGGTAGTGCAGCCCCACGGGCTGCCCCACGGACCTGTACACTTGTAAATCCCTCTAGATAGGAGTGAAGTATGGCCAACCTTCAGCTGCTTCTTCGAGCTCCTTTCCTTATGTGTTTGATGAGAGATTTTTTGCACATTTTGGTGCATATTGGTATCATTTGGCACTAGGGCTGGAACCAAAGTATTGTTCCCCTTTCCAGGTTTTTAATTTAATTTTTGTTTGTGTTTTGTTTTGGGTTTTTGTTTCTTTAAATTTTACTTTAAACTGGCTTTTTCTTTTCAGTAGGAAGCTGCACTTCTAAATGGACAAAAGAGATTTAAAAACTTGCATTTAACATATTTCAAGGTAATGCTTTTTTCCAGAACGTGGCAAATTGAACCAACCTTTTAGGAGAAAGAAAAACAAAACTAGAGATGCTTGTTTTGTAGGAAGAACATTAGAAATACTGTTTGAATCCAAAATGGAGACTCAACTCTGCATCTGACATAAATTTTGCACATTAGCAAAGCACTTAATACCTGACTATAAACAATTGGCAGCATGGCCCTGCCCCTCATCTCAAAACTATCAGAAAACCAAAGACAGCCAAGTATCTGTGATCAAATTCGAGCTCTAAATCCTCCTGGTTCCAATTTGTTTGGGAGCTGTAGTCAGTCAGGGCTGAAGTAAAAAGCTGCTGGTTCCTTCCCAAATGTTAATGCTCTTTGGACGTGTTGGAAATCCTTGTTTTCTCTTTCCTTTTAATGCTCTGGGTGGCCAGTTCAAAACCTTGTGCCTCAAGAGGCATTAAACATGATGCAATTTTCTGGGAAAAAAAAAACAAACAAAAAAAAAACAAACAAAAAAAACTAAGTTGTTTGGCTGCTTAATGTTTAAAAAAAAAAAGGCACAGTGATAGGAAAAGGTCGTGTCTGTGTTTTTAAGTTTTTCTTTATTCTGCTTTTTTGCTGCTATAAGATTTTCTTGAATTTCTATTTGAAACTTTTCATGCACTTTACTGTTTCTAGTCTCCAAATGTGATATTTTTAATAAATGAAAAAGATTTTCCATGATGTGAATGAAATTTTTAAGCAGATTGATAAGCCTATATTTATGTCTCATTCGTATACTTCAAAAAAAGTCCAATTTGAATTTTGAAATTAGTTTTAAATACAAAAGAGCCATCTTCTGTCTTGCAAAACTGCCAAGTCAGGCTGTTCCTCTTTAATTAAACATTTCCTTGGTCATTTTATACACAGGAAATTTTCCACAGGGGGGGAAAAAAAAAAAAATCAATTGGACTTAGAGGAGAAACTATTCCCTGACTCTGACTGGGGGCCAGGGGAGGGGGTGGAGTGGGCCAGAAGGCAAAAATGGGTTCAGCAAAGTGACAACTCCCTTGGAAAAGTGCCTAAAAAATGGGGGTGTCATCTGTGGTCTGGGATCAATTGGAAGTGATGGGAGCTGGGGAAAAGTCCTGCACAGCACTTGCTTTGTGCAAAAGCAAAGCAAACCAAAAAAAAAAAAAACAAAAAAGGGGAAAAAAAAAAAAAAAAGAAAGCCCTTTCCAGAGATGGATTTTCCTCTGGATGCAGGTCTCTCTGTTGGAATATACCTCAGCATTCCCTACCTGGCCATGGCACATGGATTGGAGAGCACTGGAAAGTAGAATAGCATGAAAAACTTAATTTTGTGGACATTACCTTTCTGTATTCAGCTGCTGTATGTTTTTTGGGGAGTGGGGGGATGCTCTAACCTGCTCCCCTGTTCCTCCAGGCACGGTGGTCCCAGCGTGAGCAGTGTTTCCTAACCATACTTCACTCCCAATATTTTTGGAGCTGTTTGTATAAAATGGAATTTCCGATTCGCCCGCGATTGTCTATGAACTGCAGAGGAGCCCATTTAGTAATAAAAATCCAAACCCAGCACCAATGTTTTGTAATGTGGGGGTGGGAGAGGACGGGGATGGGAAAACCCAAACCTTGGCAAACGTTGTAAGCTGCTCCAGCTGGATTTTCCTTGGGTTCCTAGCCATGGAAGTGTTCCGTTGCACGAAGGTGTTCCGCTGGATTTTCTCTGCTGCACTTCCCAACGCTCGTCGGTTTTTAACATAAAAGTGGTTTTTTAACAGACATTGCACAAAAAAAAAATCCCCAGTTTGGTTTATGTTTTAGTCAATGCACGTGTTTACCTGCCTCTCCTGTGCTGCTCCCTCCTGTTTCTCCCTTCCCAGCAGGAGCAGTGAGGGGATGGTGCTTTTTTTTCCCAGGCTCCGTTCCCAGCACGTTGCAGGCAATACCTGGAAAAAAGGCTCCAAGCCCTTCCCTGCTGCTCACTGCCTCTGTTTGCTTCCCCAAACACGGTGCCTGGTGTCCACTCCCCAGCGACAGCACTGCCTAAAGCCAGCAGAGAAAACAAAATCCAACACCCTTCTACAAGCAACTTTTTAAAACAACTCAGTCTGGTGAATCTGTCCGATACGGGGTTTTGTGTGTGTGTATATATATACATATATATATATATAAAAAAAAGAGAATTTTGTATATTTCTGCTGAAATATTTCTGAATATTTCTGCTTCCTTCTTTCACTGCAAGGAGACTGAACCTTACACAAGTTTGGTCACGCTCCCTCCCCTTCCCCCTTTGGTGTTCCAAGGTGACACAGATCCCAAGAGAACCTGGTGGGAACCACTTAATCCTCTCTGCCAAGCATCAACCAAGAACTCAGTTCAATTAGAAATAATTTTAGGTGGAGATTATAAACCTCTAGATCCAGGTATGGCACAACCCCTCCCTGTGGGAATGGTGAAGGTGAGAGTGATCCCAGTGCTTGGAGTTCATCCATCCTCTTTGGAGGCTCCCACACCACCTTGTAGTGGTTACTTTGAGAGCTCAGGGGTTTTTTAAATCAGATTTTTTCTTGTGTGTTGTCTTGGCAGCCGGGAGGTCCCGTCCCTGAGAAGGTGGAAGTGCACGTGGAGCAGCTGCAGTGTCACTCCTGGCCGTGCTTACACTGCAGTTTTGGGGGGATTCACACCCTGCTTCATGGGAATAGCAGCTTTGCTTTACATTTGGGAGAGTGTGGGGCTCTGGCATGAGGAAACACTGCTTGCCCTGGACCTTCGGGCAGCTGGGGAAAGGGAGGTCATCAAACCCCTGAACTACATCTCCCTTCCCTTTAAAAATTACTTTTTTAAAAAAAAATTGCTCGCTGTGGAGATGGGATATTGCTCACCCATGATGGCTAGGGCTAAACATCCACCTGTGTGCTCCCACATCCTTCTGGAGTCAACAAACAGCCCTTTTGCAACCATTCTTATCCTTCCTGTGGTTCCTAAGGAGCACCGGGCAGGAAGGAGGGGATACAGAGGGTGGGTGTTTCCCAGCATGCCACTGCCTAGGGACACATTTTTGGCATCTGGTGGCGGTGGGTGGGCAACACAAATTAGATTCCTGCAGACCTTAAACACCTCCTCCTAGAATGGCCCAAGCAGATTGTAACTAGGGATAATCCTGCACAGGGCCACAAGTGACACCTGTGTCACCTCAGTCCGTGTGGCCAAGGCACACTGATTGCTGTGCCAGGCTGGGAAATGGCACTCCACAGAAAGCCCCAGCCAGTCACTGGGAAATTTCCCACTTCTGAGTTTCCACAGCCTGGAGCAGTAGCATACCCTATCCAACTCCTGCAGTTACCTGCTCCTGCCAGGAGCTGTCAGGAAAAGGCACCAAATCCCGGAGCAGAGCCAAGGCGGCGTGTTCCGAAGCATCCTTGGCAAAGCAGCCAAAGGCTTCGCGGTGCCACAGCCCAGCCTACCTCCCCACCCCAAAAACCCCAAGTTTTACACAAATCCAGGCAGAAAGAGCTGCCACAGCCAAGGGGGGGAGCACATTCATCCTTTTATTGGTGCCACCGGGATGGTTGTGTGCGGGAACAGCGCAGGCACCCGAAAGGGAAGGAAGCAGCGAGTGCCTGAAGGGAAAGCAGGGAAAGGCTCCTGCCCGGAGCAGAGGAAGGGCTGGCATTGTGCCACTCAACCCAGCGTGTCTCAGGGCAGGGGGGTTGTGTCACTGCTGTCCCACGAGGGATTCATAGCCGTGGATTCCTGGGATGTGGCCAGTGGGAGGGACGGGGTGGGGGGTGTCCAAGGGGTCCGGCAGCACGGTGCTTCGCGCCGCAGCCGCGGCAGCGCTTTTTTGATGCCGTTCCTGCAGATTTTGTGGGAGGAAAGAAAGGAAACCGGGCGGGGTCAGGGGAAGGGATGGTCCTGCCAAGGTGTGGGGGATGTGTTTTCCAGCCTCTGGGCATCACATACCTCTGCATCAGCTTGTGGATGAGCAGTTGGATCCAGGGCGCCTCGGGGGTCACGCACACCCGCCTGTTCTTCTTCAGGGTGAGGCTGCAAGGCCACGAGGCCCCTCAGCCCCATGCACGTCCCTTCCCCAAAGCTTTCCTAACCCACAGAGAAAACCCCCCTGCTTCCTCGGCGTGAATATTTTGGGGCCTTGACCTGATGACCCTGAGCCACTCAGAGAGGGACCCGCTTGAAACTGGGACCAAGAGTCACCCCAACATTTATGGGCTTGCCCCATCCATGTACTTTTACACCAGTACCCAAAGGAGCAATTTACAGGGATTGGTTCCCAGGCTTTGCACTTACATGACCTCCTTCCTCCGGCAGTGAATGCCCGGCGGGGTAACGTCGATGGTGAGGATCAGCCCCAGGTTGACGACGTGGGCGGTGGATTTGATGCACTTGCACCTCATGTTGGTCAGCAGGCTCTCCAGCGACAGACCTGTGCCCCAGGGCAGCCCACACCAGGTCTCGCCCCCCCGTGGGGGAGGCACATGGGGACACTATCCCCCTCCCCACTATCCCATCCCAGCCCTGACACCCCACGGGCTGCTGTTCGTGGGGTTTGCAGCAGGGCTAATCCCTCCCAGCACAGCCTCAAAGCTTCTTTTCCTGTATATGGAAGGGGTTTAGCTGCAGGGTTGGAAAACTTAGCCAGCATTTTATGAATCGAACCCATTGCCCACCCAGCAAGAACCTGAGTTTTGTGGGGATCTGAAAAAGAAGCAGCTTAAACCCAAGAGGCAAAACCCGCCCTCTCCACCCCTAGTACCCCCCTCCAGCTTAGCCACAGGCTTTAAAAAACAAGCTCAAAGATAGGCAAGAACAAAAACTGAAAGCACAGCAGCTAAACCCACGCTCAGCCCCATCTGGGACTCCCAATGCCCCTGTCCAGGCGTTTGGAGGGGCCACGGATGGACAGACACCCAAAGGCACTCACCGCCCGCCGGCACCGAGCTGCTCAGGAGCAGGAGCAGGGCCAGCGCCAGCAGCCGCATCCTCACCGCCCACCCCGAGCTGTGCCAGGGCTGCTTTATAGCCAGCCCCTCGCCCCAGGGGGGATTTCACAACCCCCTCTGGGGCTGGGAATTGGGAGGACAAAGGGGCTGCCCTACGCCTCAACTTCCCTGCCGTCCTTCCCCCCCGCCGCACGTGCTGCCTCCCCGCCACAAAAAGCGGAAAACGCCGCCGACACCTCCTCAAACCCGCCGTGATTTTGGCCAAAGGCTGCTGCCCCCCGTGCCTCCCACCCCAAGGCCCTGGCATGCCATGTGAAAGGAGGCAAGGGACAGTGACAGAGGGCTGCCACTTTATTGGGTCGTGCCCAAAAGGGACACCCGGCGCATGGCTTCGGGATGGGAGAGGCTGGAAGCAGGGATGGGCATTTTTAAGGGTTTAAAGGCATTAAGAGGGGCTCAGGCAGAAGCATGCTCCCCTCTGGACTGGGGTAAGGCAACAGCAGGATGGGGAAGGGAGGCAGTTTTGGGCCCAGCACATCTGGCCGTGCCTCTGGTGGCAGCTTCCTCAGCGGGGAGCCTTTTTCTTCCTCCTGCCAAAAGCAGAAGGGGGAGCAATGTGTGAAGAGAGGTTCCCACGGGATGCCCCTGGTGCTCAGGGGGAAAGGGGAGCTTACAGGTGAGGGAGGTCCTGCAAGAGTTTCTTCATCCAAGGCGTGTCGGGATCCACGCAGACCCTCTTCAGGCTCTTGAGCTTAACCCTAGAAAACACACGACCCTTCAGACACGTCACTTCCCTTCCCACAAGGAAAACACGAAACCACAGCAGGTCAGGGAGTCACTTACACCACCTCGGGGCGCCGGCAGCTGCTCCCCACGGGCCACACCTCGATGCTGCTGTACCTCTCCGGCGGGATGAAGGCTCGCGTGCTCTTCAGGCAGCGGCAGCTCAGGTTGCCGTTGGCTTCCAGGATTGCTGGAGGGGCACACGGCCACGGCATCACCGCACCCACGGGCACACCCATCGTCCCACCAGCATCACCCACCCTCAGAGCCCGCACAACCCCCAGGGCCACCAGGGGAGGCTCACCTGCGTCCCCAGGGCGGTGGCACAGCAGCAGCACGGCCAGCAGCAGGGCTGCCCGCAGAGCCATGCCTGCCCCAGCCCCGGGCCCCGCAGCATCCCTCTATTTGAGCTGGGAAATAGGAGAAGTGAGGCGGCACGGGAGGCGCCGGGGTCGCGGTGGTTTTGCCCGAGCCCCGTTGCTGCTGACGGCGCTCGCTGAGTTTGCGATGCTGCCGATAAAACGCGGCTTGGGGCTTGGCAAGGGGCCCGGCTTCCCGAAACCGGCTCCGCTTTCCCCTTCCTTTCTTGGTTGTTTCCTCCAGCTCCGTTCTTAGCACACACAGCCCCAGCAGCCTGGGGTGCTTTTCTGTCCTGCATGATCGGGTATGACTCATTTCTCCTACAGCCACCTTGTCCCCCTGCAAGGCACGGCGCAGCAGCGCCCCGGTGACATTTGCTTTTGAGTTTTTTTACCCCAAAACTCCCATTCCTGACATATTTCCTTATTGGCCTGGATGGGTTTTTAAAGCCTTACAGCCACCTATAAATCCCAGCTCCATCACTTGGATGTGGAGCACTTTGGCTGGTTTGTCCCATCACACCATCACCAATATCGTGCCCTCAAATCACCACCAGGGGAGATAACAGGTTATGATGGGAAGGACCCCTGACAAGAGGGAATGGCTTCCTAATGCCAAAGGGCAGGGTTAGATGGGATACTGGGGGAAAATTCTTCCCTGTGATGGTGGGTAGGCCCTAACACAGGGTGCCCAGACAAGCTGTGGCTGCCCCTGGATCCCTGGAGACATCCAACACCAAGCTGGACAGAGCTTGAAACAACCTGGGATAGTGGAAGGTGTCCCTGCCCACAGCAGGGAGTGGGACTGGATGGGCTTTGAGGTCACTTCTAATCCAAGCTGTCCTACGATTCTATGTCAAACATAGCTTCAAAGCTAAGAGATCCAGGGAAAATACAACAGAAAGAAAAATCCCGAATTTTATTGGACTTGAGCTTCCGGAACAAGACAAGTCACATTGTGCCACACAACCCTCAGACACACACTCTGTTGCCGAGCACTTCACATGGAAAAAGTCACAAAGTCATTCCTAAAGAAGCAGGAGCAGCCCCTGACAGGGAACAGTTTCACAGTCCACAGGCAAGTACATAAACGAAGGATTCATATTCACACTGCTCCAGGGACCAAGAGCAGGGGAGAATCCCCCCACAAACCTGCCACAGGGCTGGGGGAGCAGTGAGGCACCCTCCCCACAGCCACTGCCACCAGAGCCAGACGTGGAGCTTTTGGGAAGGGGAGGAAGACAGGGCCAAGTGAGGAGCAGCCAGGTCTGCACACCTGGGCATCATCTGCCAACCTGCCTCGGCTCTGAGCACCAACTTCCTTAACAGGAAACCTATTTTTTCTTCCTGTGAAAAGCAGAAGGAGGAGAAACGTGTGAACACAGAGGAAAGTGGGTCTGGGAGAGGAAGCTCCTGCCCCAGCCGAGGGAAGTCGCTGTCGTGTCCCCAGGGCGGGCATGGCTCACCAGGATGGCCACAAACCCAGCACAGGCACAGCACAGAAGGGCAGCTTTCCCAGCATCAACACCCTACTGCACCTGCCACAAGCAAGCCCTGCTCCTGCCACTGCTCCCCTCATCCTGCTCCCCCAAACTGTTTTGGAAGTGCAGCACTGGGTGTAAGCCAGGGGTATGTAAGCCCACAGATGGGTCACGTTGGGCTGAACGCTGCTTTGCACAGCAAAGTGTTGCCCCTCATGGCTTTGGAAGTGGGTCCCTTGGACAGCAGCAGCTCTCTGTGAGCTCCTGGACCCACGAGAGCTTCCCAGAGCCATGGACGTGCTGGGATGCTGTCCAGGGACACCTGGGCCTGAGGAGTTCCCATCCAACAACTTACGTGCTGGCAATGCGCTTCAGCAGCTTCTTCACCCAGGGGGCTTCGGGATTCACACACACCTTCCCCGAGGTTCTTAACTTAATGCTGAAACACAAGGAGAGCTCCTGAGCATTCCTGTCCCCTCCAAAGGCAGGGATTCAAGCAGCCACAGCTGATGGGAGAGTCAGCTTTTCTCACAGCACCAAGGATTGTAGAAAGCTGCCAGAGACAGAGGAAGCCACTGCATGGCTGGGAACAAGCAAGACTCAACACATTCCTAGGTGGAGCAGACACTTGAAGCACAGAACACTGCTCAAAGACAGTTTTTTTTTCTGGAGATCTACAAATTTATCAACAGCAAGCAGCTACAAAAATCTGGGAAAATGTGTTATGGCTCATGCTGCCTCAGTGTCTGAGGAAGCGCTTCCTCCAGGCTGCAAACACCCCTGCTCCAGCCCAAGGAAATCACTCTTTCCCCTGCTGGAGAGATTCCTTTAGGCCCTGGGGAGCTGCATTTCTGCTCCTGATGTTTTCCAGCAAGTAAGCTGGTGGCATTTTTGGGAAGGTTTAGTTTCCAGCGAGGCTGGAGAAGCGGGATGGTGGCAGCAGCAGAGCCCTCGGCACTCACATGATCTCCGTGCGCCTGCAGCTGCTGCCCACGGGCCTTATCTCAATGCTCTCGTATTTCTTGGGACTGATGTATTCCGAGGTTGTCTTGGCACACCTACAGCTCAGGTTCCCGTTCACCTCCAGGATGGCTGAGAGAGAGAGAGAAGGTGGCAGCTTACAGGCACAGACAGGCTGACAGGGATGCAGCAGCTCCAGGAGCCAAAGGAAGTTCCCCCTTCCCGTGTTTTCACTGCAGGGAGCACGCCGAGAAGCTGCCACACCTGCACCTCTACCTCGATTCCCTGCTCCCAAAAGCTGAACCAGAGCCCTGCAAAGGATGCTCGTGCTTTTCCCCTGGCAAACAACGAGGCAAGCCCTCACTGAACAGGCAGCAGGATCCCAAGCTCCCCAGTGGCTCTGGGCGGAGGATGATGCCAGCCAAGGCACTCAGAGCTCACCTGCGTGGGCAGAGGGGGACATCAGCAGCAGCAGGAGCAGCAGCCACGGGAGCAGGGGGGCTCCCATCCTCAGGGAAGGCTCAGCCCCGCAGATGCAGCGCAGGAGCGGCGCACAAACAGCCCTATTTATCAGGGAGGGTCACGCTCCGACACAGGCACGGAGTTCACACCTCAGCAGTCACACCCGGCCAGCAGAGACACACAGAGCTGATGTCATTTCTCACAGCCCAGAAGCTCAGTGGTCAATATTTTTAACTAAACAGCCATTGGGACCGAGTGCGACGTTTGGATTCCCCACGCATCTCCCCCACATCACCCTTCATTCCCTTGAGCATTCGCCCCTCAGCCACAAAAAAAAAGCCCAGAATGAAAGCAGAGCCCAAGCCCCTGACTAAGCAGGGGGGATTTCAGCATGCTCAGACATTTACATATTTCTTTCTTGGGGCTATATTTTCCCCACGCTATTTTTGTTGCCTCTCTCATCAGCAAAAACGCCCCACGCCGCGCCAAGTAAAAACAATCACCATCTCCCTGCTTTGTGCTTCCACTCAAATCTTTCAAAATTTCACACTTGGCTGGGTAACTCGCCCAGGATGGCCACAGGAGCACCCTGTGCCCTCAGGAGTAGGTGGGATGGGGGCTTTGCCCTAAATAAATTCAGTCAAGTCACCAGTCGGGAAGCAAAAGGGGAAGGGGATATGTGGCCAGGCAAGGAGGAAGGAAGAGGGCAGAAGAAAAGAGATGTGGTTGTGTGATAATGTTGTAATTTGGAGCTTTCAAATCACATCAACATTTTATATAGCTCTTACCAAAATAGTAAATATTAAAAAAAGTCTTCCACTCAAACTCAAGCTGGGCATCTCTCTTGGAAAATCTCGGTTTTTTCCTCTGGGATGGGTCCAAAAGTCTTGTGAAGTGCTTGTCCAGCAGATGACTGGGGAGTTTAACTCCCTGTACACCAGGGTCACAGAGAGGCCAGGGACAATTTCCATGAGCTATTCCCAAAATCCTACAAGAAGAATGGGTGCCTTGCTGTCACAGCAGTGGAAGAGGAGATGGTCTTAAAACTGGGTTTTGTTTAACCCTTCCAGAGTTTTCAATTTCCTTGCAGAGACTTATTAGAAGGAACACAACCAAGACTGGTTTTGCTGGGTTGTGGCAGGAGTCTCTTGGAAAAAATGGTGAGAAAGGCAGCAACTTATCTGAGACATGACTGGTCACTTTCTGAAGTTCCTGACTACAAAACGATCCTGCTTTTTAGAGCTGGGAAAAAACAAGAGAAGTGAGAGCAACTTTCCCCAGAAAAGATGGAGCTGGAGCATTCAGCTGCTGCTCTTGCAGGACTGGAGGAATCCAGCAGCGTTCCTGGCAGTGCTTAATGAAATTGGTACAAGAAGAAAATTATCCCTGGACACATGCAACAGATGGATCACAACGAGCCAGATCCTGCCTCTGATTTGTGGCCACAGGGCAGGTGTCCACCTCCTGCCTTGCCCTGGAAAGAAGCAGGAGCTACAGAAGCATCACTGGATGGATTTTGAGAGGGTCTGTGAACGGGCTGGGCAGCAGCCACGGTGCTGTGATGGATGAGAAAGGTGTAACTGATGAATTCTGGGCTGGTTTCTCAGAAGGAAACGCCGCAGTCGTGGTGGTGGCTGGTATTTCTGCACAACAAGTGGTAATTTTGCAAAGGGAGAAGCAGGGTGAGGATGTGAGCTGTGACTGCACTTAAGCTGACTGCTTCCTGGATGCCAGGAATTCAGAAGAGTGGCCCTCAAGTAGGGATGTGTGGCGTCATCCAAGCCAGCATCAACTGAAACACATCCGAAGCACCCTCACAGCTTCTCTGTTTTCTGCAGCAGCTGCCCCTGTGCAGGCAAGGCTTTGATTTTAATCATTTTTAATCTAATTCTTACTGGATTTTTGTAATATTTTTTTCACCTGTAACACATTTTAATCCTTCCTGTGGTACCTAAATCAGAGGACTCCAAAAAACAGTGGTGCAAGCAGCACCTAGAGGCCACATGGAAAACCTTTTCCCTGTTTACCAGGATGGGCAGACACTCAACCCTAACGTCAGTGCCGAGGAGATGCAGCTCTCCAGCCCTTCAGAGAGGATTCACAAGAGGCTGCATCACAAACACCTGCAGCAAACAAACCTCTCAAAGAGAATCACTTGAGAGAAAGTCATTTTTCAGCTTACCCCTCCTTTGCCCACAACTCACTCAGGGCTCCTTGCAGGAGAGAAAAAAAACCCAAAAAAACTGTGGGTTTTTTTTTTTAAATTATCCCCCAAAAACCCCAACTGCAGTGAATCTTCACCACTGTGGTTTGTGGTCCATCACCTGCTTCAAAGATAAAGATGCTTCCTGCCCAAACCTGAGAAACCTGAAACCCACACATATTTCAGTGTCAACGTGAGAGCACCAGAATTAGCCAAAACCTAATGAAACCAGTCCAAAATTAGGTTGGCTGAACAACACATCGAGCTCACTCTTACTTGCCCTCTTCAAGTGAAGATGCACGACTTGCTGCTGATGCAAGGGGACAGAATTGTGCGCTTGGCCCATTTTTGGAGACAGCAGAGTGGTGTCATGACACCTCTGCAAGCAGGTGAGAAACATGCTCAATCTTGAAAAGGATTTGGTGCGCTGAGGGATAAAGAAGGGAATACGGTAAGAGGGAGCTTTGAAAGGGATTGGATAAGGAAGATGGAGAAAGGCTGGGAGCAAGGACAAGAGAAATTACAGAAGATTTAAGAAACGTAAATCCAACATTCCTGTCTCTCCAGTCCATCTTGGGGACCTCTGGGGAACAGCTTTCTGCTGCAGAGACAGCAATACAAAAATAGGGCTGTGCAGCCCCACGGCGGGGACAGTTTCTGGGAAGTCCTGGCCACCCCAGAGATGCAAATGGCACCGAGCAAGCGCAGCAGAAAAGCCCCAGACCGCCGTGCCAGCCCATCCTTGCTGCTAGAAAAGCACTGTGGGGAACACCCCGGCACCCCCACACTCCTCCAGAGCTCTCCACTCCTTTCCTGTCCGAGTCGCTCCAAAAGAAACCCACTGCAGAGCAGAGCGGCGCCGTTATTCCTCGGTGCCACTTCTGCCTGGCACGGAGGACGTCAGGCAGGGACGGCAGCCAAGGACTTTCCCAGAAAGTGTCACCAGGGCCGTGTGGCCCTGCTGGCTCCCCACACATTTGCATGTGGCACAGGAACCGGTCTAGACGCCGCAGGTGCCGCCGAGCCCGCGGGCGCCGTTGGCCATTTGCATCGGGGCGCCGTGGGACAGAGAGGGCTCGACCATGGAGCAAGGGGATGAGGAGGGAAAACCTTCATCCTGTGCCAGGAGAGAGCCAAGGAACAGCAGCTGGGGGTGCTGTAAGTGAGCTGTGCCTGGGAACTCAGCCCTGCTGCCCTCGTGTCAGTGGCACAAGGTGGAGTTCGACACATCCGCGCTGGATGGAGGAAGGTCTCTGGCTTTGAGCGCTTCCTTCTGGGGCTATGGAAGAAGCACTCCAGGTTTATTCACAAAACCAAAACTCCTCCACGAGCTGGGATGGTTCTGCTGAGCTCAAAGGCTGCCATGGCTGGAGCTGAGTTATTCCAGCACATTCAGGCAAGCACTTGGCAACAGCCCTGGCTCTCCAAGCTCTCCAGGAGTGCTATGGCAAAGTCTCCCCCTCTTCTCCTTGAAGTTTGACATCTTGATAAATGCAGCTAAGTTTGGCTAGAGTCTAGTTAAGCATTTCATATTTTTCCAATTATTTGTGGTTTCCATTTTAGTTGAGCCCATAATTTAGCTGTCTCCACATTACTTGCAGAATAACCCATAACTATTATTTCTGGTGGAGCTTAACATGGCCGTGACCCATTTTCTACTGGTTAAATCAGAAGACAGCAGGCCATCCACGGAAAACAGTGCTTCTCCTCAACCACACACAAGGGTAGAAACACACCAGGAACAGACCCAAACTCACCCATGCATGCTGGGCTTACACCCAGGGTTGTTATTTTCATTAATCTCCACTTAATGTTTTGAGGCCCCTCCTCTTCTTTCCAAGTGCCTCCCCACTTTTTTTCCCTGGGGGAAGATGCTTTCCCCACATTTCACCCACAAGCCACCATAGGAGTAGAGATTTTTCTATTAGAAAAAAAAACCCCAAACAAGCCAAGAGCTACAGTTCTCCAGCAGCAAGTAGAAGTGCACATGGCAAGGAGGGGAAATCCAGGTCTTCACTGAGAAGGAAGCTGCAGTAGCAGTGAAATGAGCAGCCCTCCCTTTGGAAAGTCCCTTGTCAACTTTTCTCTTGGAACCAGCACCCCTGAATCAGCACTCACACCCGGAGATGCTGCCAGAAGAGACAGAGAAACTCCAGCCCAACTTCTGCAAAGGACGTTAAATCTCAGCAGCTGAAAGAATCGATACTGAAAGGAGCTGTCTTGGGCTAAAATAACCCAGCATTGCCCAGATTTGGGGGGGTGAAAGAAAGGTGGCTGAGCACACAAGCCATGTCCCAGGTTGGGAGGTCACCAAGCTCCACCCTGCCAGGTGGAAACGGGGAGGGAGATGAAAGGGAGAAAAGAAAGGCTCCGGGAGACACATGAAAGTGAAACCGAGGAGCACAAAGCCATAAAACCCATGCAACCCGCTTTGATCTTTGCTCAGCTTTTATCTCGCCTGTCACTTAGCACACACACCCTGAAAACCAGCAAGGCCCAACGACTCAGGTCTGTCCCAGGGCACTGCCTTGGGTTAGATACAGAACATTCCTGAAGCTGTTTGGCTATCTCCCCTCCCTTCCATGCCCCACATTCCCGTGGCGTTTGGGGCAGCCAGGAGTGAACATTTCACCCGCCAGTCTGTATATCTGGAGTACAAGGAAGGCACTTGGAAAGATGTTTCCCAACATAACCTAAGCACAACAAAATGAGGGACTTTCCTCTTGCCCTGCAGGTTAGGGCTGGGGGAATGTGGGCAGCTTAAATGCTGGCATTGTGGAGGTACAAGGTTTAGACTTGCCGTGGCAGGAGGATGCTGTGTAAAAATAAATTTAAAACATACATATATATAGATAAAAGCACCACCTAGGTTCTCATTTTGCAGTGCATGCAGGCTCAGAGCTGGGACCACTAGAGAGCAGCAGACACCCTTGTCACAGAGAGCAGATGGGCAAAGAAAAACTGGATCTCCCAAGCACTCCAATCCCAGGCAGAGGATCACAATCCAAGCTAATGGACTGTAAAGGAAAAAGGAATGAAGGTGCTACCCATGTGTACTGTCATCACCGAGGGGATTTTTTCTCTGAGAAGCATTTCTGAACCACCAGAACTCAGATCCGTGGAAGGACAGATGAGGCAAGAGCTAAAATCAAAGAAGAGCTTCCTTCTCTCCCAAAACACACAGGCTGGTGCTCTTTGCTCAATTCCCAGGCAAGAGCAGTAGCAGAACTGGCTCGTCTTGATGTTCTGCAGCAAAGCAGAGTTTAGGGGAGGTTTTTGGGTGGGGAGAGGCAAGGAGGCATGCTGGAAATCCAGAAATGCAGGTTAGACCCCACAGGCCCTGCAGCAAGGTAAAGGGACCTTGAGGAAGATTGCTGCACGGATCACCCTCAGAGCTGAGGAGCACAGAGAGCTGCCTGCTTCCTCCTGCATGGCTGGGGGACTGGATGAAATCCACATCACTCCCACTTTTCCCAAGGCCAGAGTTGTTAGCATACCTAGAGTTTTGCCAGAGGCATGAGGATGCAGGCTGAGGTGTGCCCTGGCCCTATTCCCAGCTGGAAAGCTGGAGGTTAAGCAATGCTAAGCTGAGAAAGGAGCCTGGGACTGTCCAGCTGCACACCTGGGAACAGCTGGAAGCTGCTGAGTGCCACACAAATCCAGAAACACAACGGCTGGGGCTTCCCACTGGGAGCAGCTGGACAAGCAGAGCACAGGCTGCCTGCTTCTATTTATTGAGGGTATGATCCCACCCTGTTTGTGGTTAAACCCTGGCAGAGCACACAGTTGGGATCTCTCCACTGAATCCCAAAGAGGAGCAACAGTGGGATCCACGTTTAGGGGAGTGCAGGGCAAACATCTTTGCTAATTTCTCCTGGGGTTTTGTATCCCACAGACACGCTCAGCCCAGCACACCAAGAGCTAACAAGGGTGCCAGCCTGCAGTGTCAGAGCTCCAGAGAGGAAAGATGAAGGATGGAGAGCCTGTGCAAAGGGGGAGCATTTCCCCAGGGTTCATGCAAGCTGCCTGCCAGGAAGCATGCAGCCCTGGAGAGTGGCAGATAGAACCAGCCTGTCTGACAGTTATGTCCCAGCCACCCTGAGCCTGGTTTTTCCTGTCTGGCATGACTGGTTATCATTCCAGCTGGAGGGGAGTGATACTGGGAAAGCCACCCCATGGGACTGGAGGGCATTCAGCTGCTCCCCAGAGAGCGCAGAGCTTTGCAGGGAGTGTGGATGAAATGCATTTCCAAGCCAAACATCTTCAAAAGCTGGGAATTTTAATATTTGGGAAATTACAGCCAATGTAAACCAAGGCTTGAAGTCTACCCCACTGCTTCAACACTCATCCAGCCTTTGGAGGCAATTGCAACGGGCTCTCCCCAGCTGAACTCATCATGCTAGAGGAAATGATGTTTATCTGTCCCAAATTCACATGCCTGGGAGTGAGAGACCAACAGCAACACGAGAGGGTGATTCACAGCACATTTCCATCGAGCCCTGCCTCACCCCAAGCGCTGTCTCTGCTCTTGGGCCAGCCTGTGGAAGCGTTCAAAGGTCACGGTGCTAAATGCCATCGAGATATTTTTGCTGCACCAGCCTCAGGCAGGGCCTTGATGCCAGCAGACACGTGAAGACGTGCAGGAGGTCACAGTCCCCGCAGATCACCCGCCCATCAGTGGCCCTGCATCACCTCCCTCAAAGCAGAGCAATCCAGGTGAGGATGCACATCCACCGAGCCACCAGAGTCCCTCCTCCTCGCTGGAAATGCCACAGCTATGTGCCCTGCCTGGCTGATACTCCCCGCCGCTGTTTCCTCCCTTTCTACACTCTTTTTTCTCAGTGCTCAGCTATCAGGGTGTTTGCATAAAGAGGAGCACACTCACACCTTCCCTCCCCAGCCTCTCCTAAGGTTAGTCACCCTCCTGCCCAGCCTCAAGCCCACGTTTCTGCCACACCTAGAGAAAAAAAAACCCCTTCTTTTGAGGCACACGTAACCAGAGTAAATTCTTGCATTTCAGGGTCACTGCAGCCACTTGCACATAGAATCCCACAGGTTTGTGTGGGAAGGGACTTAAACAGCATCCATTTCCACCCCCTGCCATGTGCAGGGACACCTTCCACTAGCCCAGGTTGCTCCAGGCCCCATCCAACCTTGGACGCTTCCAGGGATGAGGTAGCCCACAGCAAGTTACAAGTATTTAAAATGGAAATAGAAATGCTGTCCTAACCCTAAACCTCTGTTCTGCAGACACTGTTTCACTGAGAAAGGCAGGCTGGTTCAAAAACACAGTGGGAAAGTTTGCATGGAAAAAGCAGAATCCTGGCTCTGCTCCTTCCTCCACTCATTCTCTCATTATCCTTCTACTCCCAGCAAGACAAGACTGGTCGGGCACACAAAATCTTACACCTCTCCCCAGAAAGAGCAAACCAGAAAAAACAAGACACAAGAAACCCAAAAGGCTGTTGTTGCAAGTTCACAACTGCTCTCCACATCCCAACTCCACCAGAGAAAACAAACCCTTCCCCTTAAGACCACCTTTCCAGGCATTTAGAAAACTGCTTGGCACAGAACTCTAACAAAGAGTGAATTTCAACTCAACTGCTCCCACGACAAGTTGCACTGACACCAACCAGCCTGTGCTCCTCAAAGCACTGCCTGACAACACCTGGCCAGGAGAAACACTGTGCAGACAGAGACTTCTGCCTGCCCCTGAAACAAGGTGAGGCCAAAAACCACGTATTTCTACGAACAAACAAGTTCCTGTTGCAATCCAACAGGAGCCACCAGATAACCACAGCAAAACAAGGAGAAAAACTGTGTGTACTCACAGAGGGAAGTGTGACCACGTCAGCAGCTGTGAGAGGAGCAGAGCAGCAGGAGCCCTGTCACCTCTGGAGCCAGACTGTGCCCCCCAGGCCTCTCTGCTGACCAAGGTGGTCGTGCTCCTTGGGGCTCCCACAAGCAGCAGGAAGATCATTGCAAGGATCTTCTACACCTGGGCTCAGCTGGGAATGATCATGCTGCCCAATTCCTTGCAAAGCATTCCCACCTGAGGGGAATCTCCTTTCCCTGCCCTCCTCAGCTACCTGCTGATAGGAGGCAGGTGGAAATCATTTGAGCTAATGAGAAGAAGACAAGTTAGTGACATTTTACCCTCAGAGTCCTTTCCTAGAGGCTTCTGCCATGCCTTCTGAAATGTTTTAGTAAAATCACTCAATCACTGCTGCTTTCAGAGGCACAGGAGTACCCTTTCATTTTTGCCTTGCTGCTCTCTTCCCCTCTTTGTAGCAAAGCTTTTCAGCACATGCCAATCCCTGAAGTCAGAAAGTAGTTTAACATTAAATTTGTGCCCAAGGAGCCAAAAAGCCCAGGATTAACAGGCTTTGCTTTCCTTTCATTCTGCTTCCACACTTCCAGTGACCCATTTTACACAGCCCTGAGGGCTGAAGGGGCTCTGAAGCTAGACTTTTTCGAGTTGTTCATATTCCCACAAAAATGCAGCTTGTTTTTCCCTAACCGTGACAAACAGGATGCACACTGTAAAAGAGGTGGTTCCTCACTATTCCAGCCACTTTGGGGCAGGTTACCCAGGACAGAAACAGAGTTCAGAGAAGTCATTATTACAACCCTCAGTAGGCACTGAGAAATATTCCAACTGCCCTTATTCACACCTAAAGAATAGGTGTTCTTGCTAGGAAAAGGCCTCCCACAGGATTAGCCCCATTCACAGTCCCCCTCTCCATCAGGGGGCTGCCAGGCCTGGGCCACGTCCCCTTCACCCACAGTGCCATAAATACCCCAGATAAACACAATGCCTTTGTTTAAAACAAACCCCCTGACAGGCTGCACTTGAAAACCTCTGTCCCAGCTGATTTATCTGTCAGGGAGGCTCCTTTTCCCCAGGAGGGCATGGAAATGCTCTCACGAGGTTCAAATAAGCCATCACACTCAGGTAGCTTTCCAAATGTGCTTGGAATAGTTTATTTTCAGGCCTATAAAATCTTATACTCAGAGAATCTATCTTTCTCTGGCTTTGCTAAGGCATAGGAAAGGGTTTCTCCTAAACACCCATTCCCTGGAAATCGTGCTCCAGCCTAGATCCTCCTCTCTGCACGTACAACCAGCACTGCCAGTCAGCTCTAAAAATGCTTGTGACTGGAGATAAAATGGTCAAACAGAGATCCTCCATCTCACACTTTGTGATCTTTGCTTCTGTCTACTTAAAACTTTCTGTTAAGACACAAGGTCTGGCCAACTACTCCTGGCTCAATCTACAGCAGGGTATTTCCACTTCTGAAATGGAAATCAAGACACAGGCCCAGGCTCCAAATGCAGATTTGAATTTGAGACTTCCTGAAGTTCAGGAGCACTCTGACTTGGATTTCTTTTAGCCCACAGGAAGGTAGGACTGCTTTGCTTGCTTGTTTCCAAAAACTTGTTACTAAAGAGAACTTGCTCAAGCTCACATTTGCAAAACCCAGGTGTTGATTATATCCAAAGCCTTCCCTTTGGGATAACCCTAAGATGTACAAGACATGAATTTTGGAGCTCATACATCTCTTCAGAAAGCAGAGTTGGATGGAGGTGTGCAGTGACTGGAAACATAGGAGGAAAATGGTGCTCCTGTCTGGCAATCCAAACAGCCTCCCTAAATCCCCTCTGCTGGGAACTTCATCAGTCCTACCTGAGCAGTACTTTTCAAGGAATTCCCTACCTGTACGCATCTTGTTGAAGGAGCAATCCCTGCTCCAACAGCAAAGTGTACAATTGGACCCCAGTCTGGGTTACTGCCAGCCTGGATGAGATGTTTCCAGGATCCCACGAGGTGGACTGGCAGCCTGAGCACAGAATGGATGTGGTCCAGACTAAAGATTTAAGGTGAGTGTGTTGAAAGATCTGTGGCAAAAGCCTGCCTGTGGAGCTCCCTACCTCAGCTTTTCCAGCACAAGTGAATCCTGGTATCCCTGAGTGACACAACAACAGAAGGACTAATCCAGCCCTTTCCCTGCTCCGTAGCCAAGGTGACAGCACAAGGCTGAGCCTGGCAAATGGCCAGGCCCAACTTGGCACGAAGGTGAGAGGGGTTTTCCAAGGTGGTGGGAAAGCAGCTTCCCTGGGCTGGGTGAATTTCCATGGCACAGACACACTTCTCCAAACCCAGCCTCTCGAGGCTGGGTTTGAGGCAGGGACAAGAGGAAGGACACACAAGTGCATGCTGATGTCAGCCACTTGAAAAAGGACTTTGATCTTCAGGGCTGAGGACCCAACATCTCCGAGGAGCAAGACATTTCACAAAGCTTTTTATCTGCCTTTTATGTAACGAGGCACACAGGCCATCAGTTGAGGGGTGACAGAGCACTGTCACCTCCTATTGCTTATTAAAATAAGTTGTTCCCTGCTGCCAGCTCGAGGAATGCTGCCAAAAGATATAAACTGATCCCAGAGCAGCAATATCAAGCCATGGCCAGCTCAGATTGAAGTGCCCCACACGCTGCAGCATCTGAAAGATGGGCCTGAAGGATCTGAAGGAAGAGTAACATGAAAGCTTTGACCCCAGCGAAGCAGAAAATTATTTATGACCACAGCCAGCAGGGCTTTCAGCCTCTGAGGATGCAAGGCTTTATAGGAAGAGTGCAGCCCTGTGACTCCAGGTGGACCTTTTGTTCAGGGATGAATCCCAAGGGCACGCCCAAGGCAAGGCTTCCATGGCAACTGTAGGCACAGCCTGTTAAACAGAGTAGGACAGTCAGGGAATTCTCCACAAAGTCTCTCCCCAATAAGTGTGGCACTACTGCAGATTTCCAGAGGAACACCATTAAAATGTACATCAGTACAGCACAAATAGGACTTATTTAACAGCCAAGCAAGCCTTCAGCTGCTTCCCACAGAAATCCAAAGCATCCCAATCTTTTACACTGAGAATTACACACTAGCTACAGCTGCAACAGCTGTCCAGCACTCAGCTAACTATGGAAAAAGCACTGGACATGTTGTATGGCTGTGCCTTCCTCACTGCCTGGCACAATAAAGTGCACAGGTTTTTCCCACTGGAGCAGAAATCTGTGTTTCCACAGGCACTAGGAGCCACAATGTCCCTGCACATGGATCAGAGGAGAACACATCATCACCTGCCTGGGGTTAAAGAAAACACCCTGAAAACTAACAGGGAATCAGACAGTGCAAAAGTGGATCCCAACCTGGGCTTGTAAGAATACTCCAACAGCTATTCCAGTGCCAGCTGGAAGCTGTGGAAGTAACCAATCCATGTGCACATCCTGGGACCAGAATAATCCCAAATTCCTTCAAAAGGGCCCTGTTTTATTTTATTTCTCAGCTGATACTCACAGCTCACTCTGCATTTACAGCACTGAGTGTGGGGCTTTTCCTGATAGCCCAGTCAGGATAACGGTGGCAGGATTACATTTAATGGAACAATAAAAGCTGAGGAAAGCACAAGGCACCACACAGCTGCCCTGTGGATGCACTGTGCCAGTATCTTGGGCAAAGAGCTGGCACAGATACCACACCCATCCTCAGATCATCTGTGGCACAAACCCTCAGACCACTGGCCTT